CCAGCCATTCTCAAATACCGATCTCATCCCTGCACATAACAAATACCGATCTCACCCCCGCCCATATCAAATACCGGTGTCGTCCCCGCCCCTATCAAATACCGATTGTCCCCGCCATTATCAAATACCGATCTCGTCCCCGCCCCTATCAAATACCGATCTTGTCCCTGCCATTTTCAAATACCGATCTTGTCCCCGCCCATATCAAATACCGGTGTCGTCCCCGCCCCTATCAAATACCGATTGTCCCCGCCATTATCAAATACCGATCTCGTCCCCGCCCCTATCAAATACCGATCTTGTCCCTGCCATTATCAAATACCGATCTTGTCCCTGCCATTATCAAATACCGATATCATCCCTGCCTATATCAAATACCGATCTCGATCCCGCCAATATCAGACACCGGTATCGTACCCAAACCTATCAAATACCGGTCTCGCCCCAGCCTTTATCAAATACCGATCTCATCCCTACCCTATCAAATAACGATCTCGTCCCCGCCTCTATTTCATATCGCTCTTGTCCTCATTCCTATCAAATACCAAAAACCGGTCTCGTCCCCGCCTGTATCCGATACCGATCTCGTCCCCGCCCATATCAGATACCGGTATTTTACTCAAACCTATCGAATATCGGTCTCGTTCCCAAACCTATCAAATACCAGTTTAGTCCCAGCCATTATCAAAAACCGATCTCATCCCTGCTCATAACAAATACCGATCTCGCCCCCGCCCATATCCGATACCGATCTCGTCTCCGCCCATATCAAATACCGATGTCGTCCCCGCCCATGTCAGATACCGGTATTGTTTCTAAATCTATCAAATACCGGTCTCATTCTCAAACCTATCAAAAACCGATCTCGTCCCCGCCATTATCGAATACTGATCTCATCTCTGCCCATATCAAAAACCGAACTCGCCCCGCCCATATCAGATACCGGTATCTTCACGCCCCTATCAAATACGGTCTCGTCCCCGCCCCTATCAAATACCGGTCTCGTCTCCGCCCCTATCAAATACCGGTCTCGTCCCTGCCTCTATTTAATATCGCTCTTGTCCTTGCCCCTATCAAATACCAAATACCGGTCTCGTCCACGCCCATTACAAATATCGATCTCATCCCTGCCCATATCAAATATCGATCTCATCCCTGCCCATATCAAGTATCGATCTGATTCCTTCCCATATCAAATATCGATCTCGTCCTCGTCCGTATTAAATATCTTGGTGTACAATCATATATAGAGTTTTGTAAGTACAGCGACCTCAGTAAAATTCAATCTTTCTAAAAATAATGAATCATTGTCAATCTTACGTCTAACAGCATACATATGTCACTAACATACTATAGTGAATATATTATTTTATACTAAAAGCAACGGTTTAAAACACTTGTTCTTTTATAGTTGGCTATTAAATAACAGATTCGTCCAAATATAATCACTAGATTTTTACAAGCTCCATTATTTGTGTCTGCTCCATGTATTTATGAATATGTCGAGAAATGAAATGAATAAATATTCTCGTTCATATCCTGGTTCATGGTCTACATTATACATACAATGTGTAATAATTCGTATCTTTTTCAATTCGATATCTAGTCAAGTTTATTTCAATAAAAATCCCATCGTGTTACATTAAATTTATATTGATTTCATAAAAATGACAAGGATGTCCCATATAATGCATTGTTAATTTCAAAATAGCGTCACGAATGGCTTTATCTTACATACAGTGGCCCATACTGTACGTAATGGAGGTAAGTGGCAGAGTTAAACAAGGCCTGTGGTACACTACCACTACAGCCGGTTAAAACGGTCCCACTGCAGTAACGGCCCTAGTAAAAACGACCCTAGTGAAAACGGCCCCATCCTATATATAGTATATATACTGAATACAGTACTGCAAGTGCATAATACACTGACATAACTTGATATCATGTTATAAAGTTGCATGCGCTTTCAAGAAATAAAGAAATGTACATGTACAGTTAAATGAGTTGATAGTTGAACCTCCTCAGTCTCAAATACCTTTGCAATGGCAGTGTTTTCTACTTCAGTGTTTAATTTAATTTAATCATTTAGAGAAAAGACGTAAATTAAAATTTTATTAAATAGCATATTTTATTCCATGTCAATCGTATTGACAGTCCATCCTGTAGATGTGGACATAATATGGAGGAGGCTAAACCATTTTATTTTGTATTGTCCAATGTATGATGTATAAAGAAATACAATGTTTCAACATTAGATATGGTTTACCAATATAACATGAGAAAGCCTTTTGTTTGGTGATATTTTGTTAGATATTAAATTAAACGACGTTTTTCTGCTTTTCTTATACTATTGGAAATATATTATGTGCTATTAATTATTAGGCAATTGCTAAATTTTGTATATGTGTACTTGTTTTATGGAGCGGACATTGATAAGTTTTGATAACTTGAGTCCAATCCTCTTGTGTAGTACTTATACAATACAATTTATTTAAATTCAAATACATGTACAACAATGTTCATTTATACAGTATATACGTCCTGTTATACCCGTTATACTTAGCTATTTATTGAAATATACGTTAAAGTTCATATCTATATATATACGACCCGTTATACTTATATTGTAAGTATGATGTTCATATATATATATATATATATATATATATAAAATAAAATTAACGACCGACTAAAAAACTAGCTGCTTTCACCCTTCACAGGGCTCTTCAGGTTTATTCAAAAGAGAACAACGTCGTGACGTCACAATTACATGTCATCACACTACAATAGTAACGTGACGTCACGAAGTACACAAGATTGGTGGACAATTTGGCGTAAAATTTTATTGTGGCCTGTTGAGACTCGGTTTTAATATTTTTATTAGTTGGTCTTCTTTCGTTTCTCTTAAAATAGTGTCTGATGAAAATAGTTGATACAAAGGTAATACATTAAATTTATCTCCAGCACATTCATGAATATGTTTGTTAACATGAAGATTTCGTAAAGAATCAGTTCTAGTTTGTTGTCTATGTACAGTCATACGTGTTCTGAGTTCATTACCGGTTTGACCGATGTAAAAATCACCACATTTAGAACAAACGATTGCATAAATTACATTTTTTGATTTACAATTCATATTTACCTTCACAGTAAATTTCAAACCATTCTTGAAAATAAAAGTATTACACTCGATAATCATAGGACATGTAGCACATCTTGGTGTCTTACATTTGGATACTTTTGGTGTTACACAAGAATTATCAAACTTAGAACATGTCAACATACGTTTCAAGTTTTTAGGTTGGCGTCTACAGTGTAAAATAGCATGTTTATTAAAAATGTTTCTCATACGCCTGCTACTTTGCTTTAACTCTTCACATTTGTTCTTTATCACAGGAAACATATTACAATTCCGTGGATTGAAAGTAGAAACAAAAGGAACTAACTTTGATTCATCCTTTAGTTTTTGTAGACGGGAAGTAAAGGGTCCCTTTTCAATAGCTTTCTGTATACCATGTTCTATTATCTCAGTAGGATAACATTGAGCTTTAAGGTATTGCTTTAGTTGACTTAGTCTAGCAATTTGAGCTTGTTGGTCACTGACGATAGTGACAATCCGTGAGGCAAGATTAAATGGAATATTAACTTTAGTGTGTTTACTGTGGTTAGAGTAAAAATTTAGATAATTATGTGCATCTGTAGCTTTACAATATAAATCCGTTGTAATCTTATACTTAAAAGTTATACTTAGCGATTCATTGAAATATACAACAATGTTCATTTATATAGTATATACGTCCTGTTATACCCGTTACACTTCGCTATTTATTGAAATATACATTAAAGTTAATATATATATATATACGACCCGTTATACTTATATTATAAGTATTATGTTCATATATATATATATATACGTGCCGTTATACTTAGCGATTCATTGAAATATACATCAATGTTCATTTATACAGTATATACGTCCTGTTATACCCGTTACACTTCGCTATTTATTGAAATATACGTTAAAGTTAATATATATATATACGACCCGTTATACTTATATTATAATTGTTATGTACATATATACGTACCGTTATACTTAGCGATTCATTGAAATATACATCAATGTTCATATATATACGTCCTGTTATAATTACATTATAATTTTTGGCTGACATTCACTAAACATAAGTAACAATAATCTGATTTGAAATAAATTGAATACTAAGTTTATTTTAAATTCAATCAATTTGTATTTAAACATGATTCAATAAGTGGGGCCGTTTCAACTAGGGCCGTTTTTACAGTGAGGCCGTGTTTGACCTAGATTCCGACTACAGGGGTACACTGGTAGTTAATATACCATATGTATAGTATGCCAGAAGACCAAGCTTCACATGCAACCTTTACTAAGATTTCTTTTGCAATATATCAAGAATATAACTAAATCTAGGAGCTATTTTCGTGGAAATAACCAATATTCTAACATAGTTAGCGGTAGGCCTAAGATCCGGATATATGTAATATGTTTTTTTCTGTTGGCCAACCCTGTCAAGCAAATGGGTTATTCTGTCTATAAATCAGTTAAATATAATAAACATTTATTTACAGGTCAGCGATCACAAACCCACCACTGTAAATGTACTGTAAGCAGGCCTTTGTCACACATGTGTACAGAGCGTGGTCACCCGTACGCTGCTCGACTGGCAGCCGCTCAGAATGCAATGATTACTCCCTGATAATGAACTTCCGTTGACCTACTGAGCTCTCGTTCAGACGGTAACTAAATGTAAAAAATGAAACTGCTTATTTTTGTAGATGATTTTGAGTTGTTTTATTGTATTGAATTAATTTGGAACACGATACACTTTTGTAAAACGAATAATACAGGTATGAATAATATAAAAGAGTCCTAGTCCTCATGATGTTTTACTCCGTAGGTCGATTCAATGCGCATGACCGACACTTCTATGAGAATGATGGTCTATCGACGCACGCACTTTCTCGGCAGGAAAAGACGCCATTTTTAGGTATTATCGCGCGATTGTTGGTGATCAGTCATACAAATGTATCACATCAACGCATGCATATTGGACTCAGCCATATAGGTAAGCATCATTGTAACTAGATATTTGCTGAATCTTTATTAAATCAGCACATTGACGTTTATTAGCGTTAATCATGGATGTGATATACATTAGCATATGCGTTACTTCACTTGATTGTTCTGGTACATCTCTACCCAGAGTTGTCGTCCCTTTTCAATCACGCACACCTATGTCAACGTCTCAGATTTTACAAGATTCTTGTAAAACCAAATTTGGTCTCAAATCGTGATTATTTCATCTTCAGCGACTTCTTATTTTATTTTTAAAATATTTTCTTGGCTATATCACTTTTGAAACGACTTTTAACAAGTATTAAGGCGTGAAAATATACTGCACTACACATTTTTCATAAATTTTTCATGACATCGCCAGTTTATCTAATATATGTTGTAACTTAGAATTGAATCCTTGGCACATTCTTGGCAAAACACGCAAAACAATCTATATTTTCCAACTTCTTTGGCCTGTTTTCTACGGAGGCTGCCATTTTGTGGGATGGATCACATGATTTTTTGGTCATGTGATTCGGGACTACTTTTTGACATTGGCAGATATTAAAGGGAGTGCAAGGACCGTAACTCTGCGTGGAGATTGGTTCTGGTATTGAGTGAACAAATGATTGCTACGTGTTGATATTAAGTAAATGATACAATTTGTGATAAAAATAAAATAATATCATTAAATTATTGATTTTTTAAAGAGAAGTTATTTTTCTACTTGTTTAAAATAGCATTTTAAAAATCATTAACTGATAATTGATAAGTTATATTTAATATTACAATTTCTCAGCAAACTTAATTTCTGAAAACAGTGGAGACCCCCCTCCTCTCCCCCCCTTTTTTTACAAGTTTGAAGTCCGCATTGTTATGATATTTCAATATGTATTTGCCTGATTATATTTTTATAAGTAAAGTATAACTTTCAGAAACAATCAAAGCGGGTTGTAAATAATGAAAACTCCTATGATACCTAGTTATCTCGACAACGTCGTTATTTGCAGTATACCGTTCAGGCAATAGGAACAATAATGATAAATCTAAATGAACGATGTCAATTTGGCTTGGTTCCCTATATTTTTTAGTGATATCCAGACTTGCAGGCAATATTTGAAAATGCATTTGAATTTTCGCAGAGAATTATCAGGAACGTTGGTTTATGTTACCATAATACCAAAACACTCTTTTAACATATTTAAGCGTTGGGACCATGATTCTGACTTTATTTTCATCGTCCCACTTGAACTTTAAAACATAGACACTGTAGCAGTAATTGTACTAACTTTTAAACACATTCAGTATATATATATATAGCACGGACTTGTTATCTAAGTCCGTGTACATAGTAACTGTAGGATTTTTTTTATCATAAGGAAATTAAAAGTTAAGAGAGAAAAAAGATAAGATTTGACGAATATTTTCGCAATCTCCCAGGGTTCTTGCGCTTCTTCAACTTTTGCAAGCTTGTTTCCGGTTATTATTATTTCAATTTTAGAAGGATATATCTCAAAAGGATTGAAAATATAATTTGAGAAAATAACACATGAAGAGTAAGCAGGAGCTTTTTTCCTGTTTTTTGTTATGCATTAAAACATTGATGGGAAAATATGAGTCGCTCCATTACAAAGAAAAAAACAAAAAGTACTCTATCCATATAATTAGTGCTACTTATTGAGAGTGCTTCCATAGGTGTCCTGGTGCTTTTGGAGGAGGGGGGGGGGGGTTAAATCGGAATCCGGATAAATGAAATGTCTATGGTCAACTACATTAGTATACTGTACGATTATGGTGAGTCACATATTGAACTGATTTCCTATTCTTATTAATTACTTTACTCCGTAGTGTATCTCATAATTTATGTGGGGGTTACAGATATAAATATGAACTTAATAACGCTTGTGCGATTTTTTTCAATATTTTGGAAATGGGACATGTGGCTTTTGCAATTGGAAAAGATTGTTGCAGTAAACATATACCGAATAATGATTCTAACAGAGCAGTATTAAGACAGAAATATTAGTATTTTTTCATCATTTTCTTTTCTTTTAGGAGTGCATTTTCATCTTAATGCAAGCTTTAGAACAAGAAAATAATGCTTCTAAAACGACTACGCCTAAATAACCAAGTGTTCTGTCGGGACGTTATTGACCAGAAGCATGCTGTGGTGCAATGACTAAAAAAATTGTTTAATTGAATGACATTTCAAGGTCGTAGGAATCAAATGTGTTCTATGCTTTAAACCATGAAATGAAATACATGAATAGGCTTAGTACGATGATTGATGAATATTTTCTCTAGTGTGATAGGATTAAGTCTTATCTTTTTTTCACATAAATCACCTTGACCTAATCTTAAGGTCATGGCGGTTAAATGTGTTAACTCATTCAACGACTTCCATGTTTAGGCATATTGTTGATAATAAAACAATAAATCACTGAATACCAACGGCTTATCTCGTACGTTCTGTAACGGAAAGAGGGAAAGTGTCCACACTTCACGGTTCCAACAGACAAATCCAGAAGGACTACAATACTTAATAACTGTATTTATAAACAGAGAGATACTATAAATAGTGATAATTAATTCAGAAAATAATTTATTTTCTGTATTTCAATTCAGTTTCAGGGCAAGCTTTTGGAACCTTGGAGATAGAACTATAGATGGACAAACCAATGATGTAAGTAAATGTTTGAGACAAGGGGAGGTACATAAATGTTTGAGACAAGGGGAGGTCAGGAGAAATATGCTTGTTATCTGTTAGCTACTTGGTGGACTATGGTCAACATGTCAACATAGATATAACATGAGATGATAATATTTATATAGGAAAATAAATTGTCAACACCGAAGCAAATTGGAAGATAGCATTCATATCTTCAGATTTGTTTATTTTAAATAATATTCGAACGAAGCTTGAAAGATTGTTTACTATTTATTGACGATAACGTCCCTGCTAGCTTTTGGCAAACGTTCACTTTTGACGAAAATCAATCTATTGTTGTTGTCAAGTAACAGAAACAATACGCCACCAATACTACCAAGAAAGTCTCATAAAAAAATTAATGTAGACAAACTAAAGTTTCAGAATAATTATTTAAAAGTAATTAAATTGATTTTTTTAATTTATGAGGTCGATCTGGTTATATTACAGAATTTACAAATAGAATATGATTTGTAGAAATTGGTCTGTTTGCATACATCTGTATACATGTATATAGTCTGTACTGTTTATTGGTAAATAAATAGCATGGTCCGGTTGTTGCTTCAATCATATCAAAAGGAAATAGTGAGGCTACTGCTCCCAAGCATGGAATTCCACAGAAACTCGTCTTAAAATGTGTTCATGTACTTCATAGCCTCGAGGGCATTGTTAGAGGTCAGTGTTAGAGGGCATTGTTAGATGGCATTGTTAGATGGCATTGTTAGAGGGCATTGTTAGAGGTCAATGTTAGAGGTCAGTGTTAGAGGGCATTGTTAGAGGTCAATGTTAGAGGTCAATGTTAGAGGACATTGTTAGAGGGCATTGTTAGAGGTCAATGTTAGAGAGCATTGTTAGAGGTCAATGTTACAGGACATTGTTAGAGGTCAATGTTAGAGGGCATTGTTACAGGTCCGTATTAGAGGTCAGTGTTATATTAGTGTTCCGCTTTATCACAAAATTAAAAAGCATGACAATATCCATTTGACTAAGGACGCAAACCGCATATAGACTGATAAGTAATAGGGCATATTGATAAAGTTTGTCTGCAGTTATCTGTTAAAGCGTTATGGTCCTGTCAATTGTAGAAATAATTTTTCATGCAATAGAGAACGTTTCAACATAAAATCAAATATTGTATGAAGACACACTTAAAACATAAGAAATAATGGAAATGTTGGTAATAAACAGGTAACATTTATAACAGATATTGATATTAATACAATTATGGTGAACAAGTTATATTTCTCCCATCTCTACTATCATGAATAATACACGTATACGGAACATTCGTAGCGGAATAATGGAATCATTTAGGGGCAAGATTAGGGATCTCAACCTGAAAGGTGGGGGATTTTTAAGTTGCTAAAACATGAGACTTATCGAGAATGTGGCTACTTAAGGATAATACCCGAAGGGTTGATTTCACTCCTAAGAGCATAGATGATTCTTTTTCTCCTACCCGTTTGTCGTTTTCCTTAATACTCTGTTGGCTTGACGTAAATGCGTTGTTGACGGAACGCTATAGGCCTACAATTGTAATGTCTTGGGAATCCCCTCGTATCAATAAGTCGCTGATCGTATTCCAAAACAAATGGGATCCTTTTGATAAATTTCTTTAAATTACCGCGACAATAATTGAATAGACTATTACAGTTATTAACAATATTTTTGGGGGTTAGGAATAAATGATATCATGCTTATTAACGGTGAATGAATGAAGAGATGGCAAGATTGTAACAATCAAAGTTTTCTTCCCGTAGGAAGGGTTAAGTGAAAGTATTTACTCTGTTGAATAATTGCAATTGCACCGTTCTTTGCACACTAAAAGTTCACTGTATTTGAAAGCAAACATATCAGGAACAAATCATGTCAAACCTTATTATTGTCTTATTTCATGGTGTTTTACACCTTTATCAGACGAAGCGAAGTGTACCGGTTTTCAAGCGCCGCCATTTTGATAATGTTGCTAACGGTATTATATCTACATATTGATGTTCTCGATTCATACCAACAAACGTAACGAGCAGCAGTGCTATTTACTGTCAGTAAGCGTCATTTGTTGCGTTTCGTTAATTTATGTTGACACCATTACCAATGTCCTTCCCAGGGTTGTTGCTGGAGGGGGCATTGACCCCTTTAACTGAAATTTATATAGAATGGCCCCTCGTAATTTTGACATTGACTAAACATTGCTGAAATTGCCCAATGCTCTCAAATTCCAGAATTTTCCCTGATAATGCATATTAACACCGAGAAAAATATCCCAGTAACCGGTATAACGGTAATATTGCCCAAACCTATCTGACATACTCTCAATATGAGGGGGCAGCTTTTATAATGCTTTGTCAGCCGGTCTTTCGAATATTTTGTTTATGTGTATCTAATATGGTGTAGCTCTATCAACAGTGTTGCACTTTCATTGTCGATTCATGTTTTACCAAGTGTTCGGATAAGAGATATGTGCAAATGTGGAAAACCATCGAGTGAAGAATTTGGGATAGAAAGTTCTTTTAAGACCAAAATTCCATATGTCCCATACCTTCATATGATATGTCCTAACAGTTATGTTGACTGTTAATGCTGTCTGTAAATAGTTTTTATATAGTACTTAACGTAACTTTTTTATCTTTTCAGTGGGTCGGGAAAATTATTGATTGGTAAAGATGGGAAACTCCTCATTCAAGGAGATGACAAGGTCGTATCGTCATACCCAAGTGAATCGCACAAATTGGTAACGCAGAAAAATGCAGATGGCACATCGAACATTTTTATGGTTCCGTCCGATGGAGTGAATAAAGGAAAGTTTTTTCTGGTAATGCCACAGGAAAATCAAAAACTGAAAACAATCGGTGATGTCTTCTCATCCAATAATGCTTCGAGCTCTCCAGCATCTGAGACCTTTTCCAATTCTTCGGAAACTTTGCACGAGAAGTCGGGATCACAATTAATGTCGAACGTGCTAAAGAACATCGCAAATCATATTTCATCAGAGTCAATTGCGCCTGATGAAATAGCATCCAAAAGTGTAGAAAACTCAACAACCGCATCCAATTCACTTGCAGCCATGAGTACGGTAACCAACATACCAACCTCTTCAGTTAGTTCGTATATACTGACTGGCGCAAGTACAAATGTGAAGCAATCTCCTGAATGTGAATCCCGAACGAGCCAAAAAGAACGTGACAACAATACCAATTTTATGCCATCAGTTGTACAATCTGCACCAAATGTGACATTAGGTGCTAGCGGTATTGTCGGTAATAATTTAACGACCGAACCGTCCGTAAATACCATTCCAGTTTCGCCCTTATTAAGTATGCCTAGTTTACCCATTTCACAGTCGGTCATCATTCTTTCCTCTGGCAGTATTCCAGTGTTACCAATGAGAACAGGTGGTGAACAGCCACTGTTAGCAGCATTAAACGCTGCTCCTTTACAGCCCACGATGACACAAACCTCCAAGACACCAGCGGTGACAACATACCATCATAAGCCAAACATATTGATGAAAACAACGTCATCTCAACCATCAACATTAGCCGCCATGGTGACCTCGTGTCAAACGACGATTACCACTACACCCAACAGTGTGTCATCACAACAGGTCCCATTAGTTCCGGTGATAATCAACACAAACCAAACATCAAGTACATCTGCCCTCAACTTTCTACCAAACGCAACGACGTCTGTTCCCACATCATCACAATCACTTCCATTATTTCCAGAACTGAGGAGCCAAACGACGACTACCTATTCACCTACATTTGTACAAGCCCCATTGGTCGCTGTTTCGTCATCATTACAACAAGCACCGTTAACCCCAGTGATGATCGCCCCGAAACCGTCAATGATCACCAATGTATCCATCTTTCAACAAACACCAGTAACAAACAGCCCTCTGTTGTTAACTGCACAACAAGCGGCGACTCTCCTTGGCATGCCGTCTGTACCAGGGACTAAAATTCCGTCAAACAATTCCATCATTTCCTTTATGAAGACCATGAGAAATGTTCGGGCAACACATTCTGTAAACGCGGTTAAAGTTTTGACATCATCTCAAGAAAGCACCCTGCGTGTTGCTCAGGTACCAGGACTTTCCACTGCTAGGCACAGTTCGGAACTGACTACAACAACATACTCAGCATTAACAAGATCCAACTCTGAGGTCACTGGTGTAGCAACGTCTGTTCAGGATGGAAAGATCATCACACCTGTTCTTGAGTCAGTTGATGACAATCCTGTTTTAAATTCAAACAAACCACAAGAACTTTCCAATGACCAAGGATTGACATATAACGCAAGTACTAGCTGTTCAGCAACCTCATGCAAAACAACAGCGGTCTGTGCTGAGAATACGATAACCACGATACGACCTCTTGTGACGCACCCCAAAGTGTCTGATATGACACATGTAACAAGTTTGAGTGGTGCAACACCTATGTTGCTTTTCAGTCATAATGCAGCACGCAGCCTCAAGCCGAATGGATTACCCGATCCATTTGTAGAACAGGGTTGTAAAGTAACCCCAATAGCAGATGCCACGACAACTAAACCATCGCCCGTGGATGCCGTTAGCACAGGATCACTTCCTGCTCACCACCATGGACTTCCTTCAGTGCTAGAAGTGAAACCAAAAGAATACAAGCATACACAAATTGGTGAACAAAGCCTAAATATTAATTCCAAGAAGTTTACGGTTGTCAGGATACCTGTGTCCAAAGATAGCCCATTACTGCAAAGAGCGAATTCCGGAAATTCGACTGTATCCTTGTCGACAGGAACGTCATCATATATATCCACGTCTTGCAACATATCTTCCTCTGTCGCTACAAAAATGGCAACTACAGAAATCAGCTCTACTGTATCAAATAATATAAAAGTTAAAAGTACACCACATCGAACTCTTTTACCTCAGACTGCAAACGCAAATAATATATCAGGTACCTTATCATATCCCACTGATTCAAATTTGAACGTTTGCTTGTCTTCATTATTGACACCACCTGTCAAAACTGTCATTACGTGTGCAGGAAGCACTGAGTCAACAACCTCTCCCCGTGTCGTAACATCTGTTATAAGTGACCGTGTAACCGGTCACAGTGAAAGAAGAAGCGCAAATGACCAACCTAGGTATCTGAACGAAGTACATCAGACACCGGCCAAACCCAAAATCATAGTATCCGCGTCTCTAGCAGCAAAACTAAAACGCGATAACTCTGTTATGGGAAATCTAGTGTCCATTGTCCCATCAAATAATACAAAAAAGACTACTTACCCGTCAATGATATCTTTATTGACCACATCAGATCACGGATATACTCGTGTTTGCAGGACCGTGAATGGTGACAAGGATGTGAAAAATGACTCAAAACCAGATTTGAATCTGTGGCGAGGGGCTGAGAAAGACACAGGCACTGCTAAGTTAAACAGCACAGTTCATCCTATTTTAAAAATGCCTCGTTCTGACGACTTGCCTATCCGCATAGATTCAGTTTTCTCGTTATCAGCTGGAGACCATACTTCCAAACCTGAGTCAGTCTACGGTGCTGAATGTGGTGTTTCCGGGGAGAAAAACAGCTTGAACAGTACCGAAGATCTGTCAAACACGAGGAAAAGTGCGTCGTTGAACATGGAATTAAGCAGCAATACGAGTAGTACGGCTTCAAACATGGATCTCTTAAAAGTAGACAGTTCGTTCCGTAATGAAGCAAATTTTAATTCTAGTGACGAATCCAGAAAACAAGGCTTCAATCCAGAGAGAAGCCCGACCAGTTCGGAGCCATCTATGACTCAGATATTGAGGGAGTTTGACCATCTGTCAAACTTCAATGGAGTCATTCTCCCAGATGAAGCGATAACAGAATCAAAAATTTTCTCGCCTTGCTATGTAGTTTTAGAAACTCTTCGCATGCATGGAGGGACAATGAAAGGCATAAATACAAGGTGTTCCAGGACATGCCGACAGAGGTTTGTTTCCAAGAAGTCAAATATTCGTCTGGCTATACAGAAAAAGAAAGATGGTTTCAAGCAGGTGGAGGCGAACCTTACGGCACTGGTTCCTGGCAAGGTGGAAGTTAAAAAAAGAAAAGCGCCCATGACCAGTGAAAATAAATTGCCTGGTTCCAGCATCAATTCTGATGGCATTAATATTAAACGATCACGTGATATTTTAAATGCTTCATTAGGCACAGCTGGACACAAAGCAATGAAGATCATAGAGAACGATAGTACAACGAATGGGAAAAAAGAAGGAAAGCAAATAACACCCAGCAATTTGTCTTTGCCAGTAAAAGATGACACGTCAGAAAGAGTAAAGCCAACCACATCCCAAGCTGTGCCAGTGGCTAAAAAGCTTCCAAACACAGAAAAATTCTATCTCATACGAGTTGATGGCAAAACCGTGTTGATTCCTTGCATAAATGCAGGTAGCCAGCCAAAAGCGTTCATCATAAATGAAGAAAAAATCAATTTGGCTTCCTATACTGTTAATAAAAGTTCTCCCGCAAATAGTACTTCGCGGCCAAATAAGATAGTTCTTCCTCGTGTTTATACTCGTGTTTCTACAACGTCTTCTAGCACAGCCGCATCTAGTGTCTGTACCAGTGTAATTCCAACTACAACAAAGCCAGCACAAGTTCCAACCACAACGCAGGTTAAAGTCAAACCGGAGCCAATCACCAATGGATATGGAGACGAAAGCGAGGCAGGTAGTCAGCCACCTGTGATTGTAAAGCAAGAGCGCATGGACAGGGGATACTCTGACGAACCGCCGAAACTAGAACGAATGGATACTGAACCGCCAAAACGGACATCGCACGAACTGAAATCTAAAGAAACCACAGCTCCAGATCTCACAGCCGAGAAAATTGTGCCACCAAAGATCCAGAAAGTTTTGTCAAAAGAGGAGAGAATAAGTTCTTTGAAAGAACTCTTAAAAAAGCAAGAAAAAGATTTGGAGGCGATCAGAAAGCGACGTGTTGCCGAAGCAACACCGATGGATCTGGATTTCTAGACTTGTAGAACATATGATGCGTGTGACATCAATCAGTTTGTGACAGCAGGCTACAAGTAAGACATGGCAGCTGGTATGTACGACGGCCTAGCGCAGTGACTTTATGTAACATGTTATAACGTGTGACAACGTGATAGTGTGTGGCAGGTTGTTATCAATATATGTTTGTATGACGACTTGTCGCAACCAGTACATTGACAACTTGTTTGCAACTACTGAATTACAACTTGTAACAAAACGTGTCTTGCAGCGAGTTAGTAGCTTAGTCTTGTGTTATAACCTCACTAGCTTATGCCACGTTGTGACAACTGTTATGTATTACAATTTGTTATATCTGGTGTCTTATAATTTGTTGGTAATATGCGACAACATGTTGCAAATTACTAGTTTGTGCCACAATGTAGCATCTAATGTATGACAACTTGTAACGAGAAGTGCCGTACAACTCGCTAGCAGTGGTAAATTGTTACAAATTACTAGTTTGTGCCACAATGTAGCATCTAATGTATGACAACTTGTAACGACAAGTGCCGTACAACTCGCTAGCAGTGGTAAATTGTTACAACTTATTAGTTTGTGCCACGGTATGACAACTACTGTATGATAAGTTGTGACAAAACTTGTTAGTATTTTTTGACATTTTTATAACTAGCGTGTGTCACGATGTAGGTCACAAATATTGTGTGACAAACTAATTTCTAATGCGTGTGACTTGTGTGTAACAACATGTTATAGTTTTAATGTGACAGATAGTTGGCATGTGACATAATGTTACAACCAATATGTTGTGACCATATGCTAACAGTATTACAATTAAACGGGTTAATTCAATAGCTATCATTACAATGAGCGTATGACAACATCTTATTACATGTACACATTGTAGTATTACAACTTGTAAGTGATAACATATAATAACATTTGAAATTGAAAGTTGTTAAACAACCATAACCAGTAAGATAACGTTAACTACTACTAATGTGTAACTACTACTAGTGTGGGTTCAACCTCCCTCACACAATATATGTTAAGTGTTTATACTTCGATATTGTTAATAAACTTAATTGCACACATGAAGAATTGACCTATGAAATGTAGGCGCAATTGGAAAATCTTGTGACATAGTCGGTCTTTTCGGGATGTATTATAGAGCGGTGGTGCTGTCCATCGTTTCTTAATTTTTCTTCCTTTGCATTGCGTTTCCCGGAAGCGGAGGTAACCATTAGTGTGACATCACAAGGAAAACAGTTGAATCGTTTACATTTTATAGATGACGTAATATTATAGTAGAGATTTTCAGTTTGGGTTAAGGTGTTTCTGGTTTAAGGCCAATGTGGGAAATCCTCCATTCTCATTTCTCGGTAAATCGGTGTATGTGAGAGAATCCAAAAGATAAAGTCTCTTAAAAAGAGCGACAAATAGAATATTTCCTCGCGTTAAGTGTAAGATAGGTATATTTCAACCTGATGGGTAAGATTTCAAAATGTTCATCCCGAGGATTGAACGTTTAACCATCTTTATACGTCAACTTTTCATTTAAAATTATATATCATTTAATTATTTTCGCTGCATATGACGTCTCGATTCCGTTTCTGCGGTTGCAGTCTGTCGCCTTACCTTGGGGCAATGTGAAAATCGGTAAAATAGAATATTTTCTACCTCATGTGTATGGCAAAGAAATGTCAGCCCTCGGGATCAGATTCTTGAATTTTCAAAACTGAGGTTTGCCGCGAGTTTTACATAAACTTATCTTATCCCGAGGGTTGATATGTCCTTGTCACACCCTGAAGGCAGGGGATAATATGTCCGCCTCGTCTCTTACTTGGCTAAAATGAAACACAGGAGTGACATATGAACATCAGCTTTATCTTTATGTTGCGGATCTGGGCTGGGCGATCGCCGGTGACTAGGTAGCTCAGTTCCGAGTTCTCGGGCTCGAACCCTGATCTGGCCGTAGTTGTTGTTTTGGGGTTTTTTTCAGTTACACTCATAACAATTCGCAACAATTATAGTACCTAAGAGTTGACGGAGAAATCACTCGTCGATAAATCAGGATACAAACTATTACAGTTTGAGGTAAATTACTGTCACTACTAGTATGTAATGCCGTGTTATGAAGTATGTGAGGAGGTGCGTGTGTAGCACGAAATCACTGTAACTGTGAATGTGTGACGTCATATCGCAATTCCCTCTGACCAATCTGTTGTAGAGACCACGTGATATACCGATTTCAATATTGGAGTTGTAAATGTAACCTTAAGAACGCTTATAAGGTGTTGTGATGAATGTTCATCAACGCAAAGACCGATATGAATAACATTTTGGTTAGATAAGATAATGAATGCTAGTGTTCATCCTTATGGTAGTAATTGCTTATCCTTATTTTCGAAGAACGTTTTACCTGCCCTATGTTATTTGGGTAGTTTTCCTGTGTTTTTAGAGTCGTTTTATTTTATTTTCAACGTGATAACTGGGTGTGTTCATACTTTATCAAATGTGTTTTAAAGGGCTTGGTTGATGCACATATATATACAGTTCCCTGGTTTCTGGGGGGTGGGGGGATCCCTATTTAACGTTCTAGCAATCTAAATATACCACAATCAATAACAGAACAAAAGTTGATTGTATTGCAATATCATTACCATGTTTCCATTGGTGTGGTTTGTTTGCGTTAATTAAGGGCAGTTATAGAACCCGTGCCATACATTGTATAGTGTATCTGTCTGTCGTATTGTCTTTGTAGTTATAATGGTGGTCGGTATTGTGCTAACCAACGCCTCCGCCATTTTATGGTGAACTGGGAGCTGATACATGTATTTTGATGAATTTGTAAATCCGGCAGCTAAGGTCAGCAGGCGTTTGGCCGACTACCATCTGTTACAGTCATTTGAACCCTTTTATCTCAATCTTGATTCTCCTGTGTATGTTTAAAACATGAAATATTCGTGTCATCGTGTTGCTGCAATAAAAACATTAGACTCGTAATTCGGTTCCTCTACGATCCTCTGCGATACACCCCAATTGGAGTGTATCGCAGAGGATCGTAGAGGAACCGAATTACAAGTCAAATTTTAATTAGACTGCGAGTAACTGTTGGTAACCGTTTTTGTTTGGATGAAACCACAGAAGGATGACGCTGATTTTTATTAGAAATATAATGTGGGGATACCTTTTGACGTCCATTGTCGTTTTTGGGATCTTTTTTAACCACACGAAGAATGTATTTGATTTCTAGTATCGGTATTATGTATTTTGTCAATATGTGTGTGCATTATAAAGTAGATGAATGGAGTGACCGAAAAAAGAAAAATATATCGTGGTTTATCCGATGAAGTTCGAGTGTTTCCGAGCGTACTCGGTGACAGGTAAACAGTGGGTAGTCCCCGAGCGTACTCGGTGACAGGTAAACAGTGTGTAGTCCCAATGTCCTTGTATTCTGAATGTGGTCGGTATGGTAACCTACACATTGCTATGTGTTACTAGCTGCCCTATATATGCCAACTATCTAACATTTGTCTTATTTAGTTTACAGCTACATTGTCCTATTATAAAAAATGATAGATTGATCATGTTGAAATAAATGTTGTTATTACAGTACACTTGTTGTTTTGTCGTTGGAATGCTGATCTAGTTGTAAAACTAGTGCTATGTCTACTATTCTTGTCGAAATCAGACTTCTTGTCGCGGATAGAAAACAAGATACTACCTCTGGTCTGTTTGGGCTATACTTTTTTTTCATGATGAAAAAATCCCTGTTTCAAAGAATAAGATTTTATATACTATAATAAAGTACTAAGTATGTGGTTCTTTCATCCTAATTCTAAACAAAATATACAATTACGTATGTGAAGTTCGGTATGGGTGTTCACAGATGAACGTAACACATACAGATATATAGTAAGCCAACACTGTATTACATTGCATCATTTCGTCCTTCTTTGATTGCTAGAGAAGTGTCTTTAGACAGACTTGCCCTGATGTGCTATATGATTGCTAGAGAAGTGTCTTAAGACAGACTTACCCTGATGTGCTAGTAGAAAAGTATTGTATACATAAACCAAGTGGGAGGCCTTGGCTCATATACAAACCCGTACAAACCTTCATCTCGTCTACAAAATATATAATGGATCAGTACCTCCATTCTTCCTGACCTAACTCCTCTTTTAGGAAATATAGAACAAATTACAATCCAATAAACGTAGGCAACTATACAATTGAGCTGAATCGATTCAACATCACTTGCATGTCCCTTTCCTAGCTGCGGGAAGCGTAGCTTCAAGGCCCGATTTTTTGATTTTTTTTTTTAACAATTTAGATGGTCCGANATTGTATTGAATATGGCAATTTATCATATTCATTAACTAAACACATAAACACACTGACACTTTAACTATAAAATATACATGCTCCAAGTCAGGAACCGTTACATTAGTGCATTTCACAATTATTTTATGTTTTTTAGCAAAAAAAAGGTCCAAACTTTTTTTGCCTCGCTCCGCTCGGCTAAAGATTTTATTCTACGCCCCTTTTTCAAAAATCCTAGAAACGCCCCTGGATAACAATAAAAATTTACACTTTGGAATATGCTTGCTGCTTTCGTTAATAGTTACATACAAACAAAAGTATACACCAGACCCAACCACCATTCTCATACCAATAGTTACACGTACAAACGTATTCCTGAAATCAAAGGTACGGTGCGAAATACTTACTTTCTCCTTTAAAAAACTTACTGGATACTAGGCTAAGCCCTATCAATCACTTTTTTATGAACAATTGTGAAACAAATTATTTAAACTTCTATTAATCACACTTATTCGCCTGGATGTAAGCGCGGGGTAGGGGTCTTAATGTGGGAAGAAATGGAAGTACCTGGAGAACCCTATAACTGTTCACGTCCGATTGGGGAATCGAACCACGGCCGCCTTCGTGAAAGGCAAGTGTGTTCAGTTTAAACATATTGTATTGCCATAAGTATACATACAGCAAAGGGATAGGACAAGTTACATGAACATTATCGACGCCCTTTCCCTATGTAAAACAATATTATATATACAATGTAAGATGGCTAGATGTAACATAATATCAAATTCTAGTTAGAATGTGAAAACAAAGAGACAGACCAGCAATCCACTCTCATGACGTCGGACAGACAGACAGACGGACAGACAAGTGTGTTATCCAGTTGCGTCAACCAATGACTCTTTTTAAAATTAGATCTATACTCATTTTAAACTTCTACCAATGATACATTCAATGGTTTTGAAACGGTATGTGTTTCGGAGACAACTTCATCCACGTGACCCTGCAAGAGGATATTTAAAACCTCCGCAAATCGTCTGTACATTGACTTAAGAAAATAATAGGAAGTTCGGCCGAAAAAAATAAACATCTTTAACACTCCTTTAAATAATACTCATGTAAATATGAGTCAATTCCTGAGAAGGTACACCCTTATTATCAGTGCTAAACACTTTTTTGTCTTGTAATATCTATTCAATTGATACTTTTTTTTTTAAAAGAAAAAAAATCGTTGCCTTGTACTACTTATTTAATTGATTCTTTTTTTGATAAGAAACAAATTATGATCCCAAAAAAAAAAAATATATACATCAGTAAATTAAAATACAAAAAAATGTGTTTTTTTTGTATTTATTTGACGTTTAATTAAGAGAACAAGTATTTGATTATGTTTTGCTCATTTTCAGTTTGATCCATATAACATTATAGTTTTTGAATAAAATGCAAGTAAAGTCACACACCCTATAATATCACAAATTTATTTCCCTTCGAAAGCAGGTGCGTTCGCATTGTTGTTGTGGCAACTATATACGCTGCGCATGCTCACACGTAAAAGAAATATGGCGGGCATTAGAGTCGAAGTTGATTAAAACCGGGCTACTGAAGGATCTGACAAAACATTCAGGCAAGTGTACATCAATTTACAGGTCGCAGAAATTGGTAGGATGTATTATAAAAATAATACACCAGTCGTATAAGTAAATAGCAACGTAATCGGACTGTTAATATGAACCTGTTTGTTAAGGCGACAAGTGAAATCAAGTTTATTTTGCAGACCATGTTTGACATTTGACAACATCCGGCTTAGGAACTATGATACGGAATGGATTTTAGGGCTTTACTGTGTTTGATCTTATTGGAAGCATAATGAAATACAGATTTTGTATGAAACAGAGCCTTCCCAAATACACATATTCGTTAAAAGTGTTCATTTAGGCAAAACTCGCGAATGAAAGTTGACTTTCTGGAGGAGTGCAAGTCGAGGGGAGCGGTCATTATTTCAGATATGAAATGATTAAATCAAAGAAATGACGAAAAAAATGTAAAACTAAGTGTATTAATAAGTTTGTTTGAATTTTAAATGTTGTTCATCTACATCTTCCTTAGTTTGTAAAAGAAGCTGTCCATTACAGAGTGTTGTGCAGAGCTTCACTGGACTTAAAACCTACTGTATTACACAGAGTTTAAATATGTTTATCTTGTTTCAGTAGATATTTCCCATATTTTGATAGCATTGTGTATTGTTGTGTTCAGTAACATGCATAATGTTAGAATATAGCATCTGATGTCAAGTTTTTTTTAACCCTTGTGGGTAAATAAAAAAATTGTTTGTGTCTGCTATTATACAGTTGTGGGACCGCTTCTCTCCGCACAACTGTGCGATTTGGTATCATTTGTAGATCAAAATTACGGAATGACAAAAATACAGGTGGCTTGTATGCGATAGTGTACACTGTGTATATATCTGTAATTTCTCATCACAATAATCAAGATTATACAATTTCACAATGCGTGTTACACAGTATTACAGCGATCGTTAGGCTGTCAAGAATGGGTTTGGCTCCAAGATAACAGAACAGGTAAATAACAATTTTATGAGTGTCCGGAGTTTTACCTGGCCAGTGCCTGACACACAGAGCTGATATGCGATACCGTTTGACCGTAATGAATGGTATTTGTTATTTGCATTCGTTTGCCTATAGCTCCCCTTCACCTGATTTTCACACCCCCGGCCTTACCCGACGAGTTACGTAAATGCTCCAGGCGGGGGGAAAACTACGGTCCAGGTACATGTACAAAGTGGTCACGTTTACCTGTATACGGGATTGTGTTGTTATTTAACATGTGTCGATTAAGTTTGTTTAGAAACACAGAAAACACAATTCCTAAATATAAGAATATATAGACAGAAAGATAAGTTTTTAGATGTTGCTAGAATATAGAAACATACGTAAACATCAAGTTTATATGTTTAAACACGAAACCGTATAAATTGTTAAGGCATTCCTCAATTTACACCAACCACGATTGTTATCGCACAACGTCCGTCCATCGTGCGCACATATGTGCGCAAGCAATGATCGTTCAGCTTTTTATCGTTCGCCCATCGTGCACACACCGTTCACACATCGTGCGCACATTGCACATCGTGTAACGTTGTGCGATCCCACAACTGTATGTCTTAAAATTTGATCAATTCAAACCACAGACTTAGATAGGGTGGTAGGTAAATCTTGTACCCCGTTCCCGGACCCGGACTGAAACCCCATACCGGGAATATAAAGATATTTTAATATCTCATTAACGCGATGGTTTATAATTTCTATAAAAATATAGAATAATTTCAAACATTATTTTCTAAATGTGACAATTACAAAAATGTTTATTTATTATCTAATAATTTAGAAATCGACAATAATGTGTTTTTCAAGGGGGTAAAACTTGTACGACGCAGTCAACCGTGAAAATCACGTTTTTTCACATATAAGTAGAAATTTAGGGAAAATTAACATGTTATTTTCAGATATATAGAAGAAAATACCTTACTGTTTATAATTATGTAAGTTTCGTTGAAATAAACAACATATTTCACATGAAATTCTGACTTTGTTGTGATCGCGGGTGTTTTGTTTACTCCCGTACCCGTACTAAGGGGACATAACTCTGTCAAGCTGTTGTTATCAAGTAGAACTCTTAGCCATTCTATTAGAATGTTACCAGGCTCTGCGACGCAGACGCAGTTCTACACATCTATTATGAAACCATCTGTCACAGCCAGCATCACAAGAAACCATATCATCAAATACATTTGAGATGTGACACCCATCTGCTTCGCAATCAATAAAAATATCAAATGATAAAGAAGTTTTCTTTTGCCTATGCCTACTCATTTTTTTCCTAGGAAACTTAGTAAAGATTCCATTGGAAATCCATTCTACAAGATGTTGCCTCATGCAAGTGGTGTCAAACTCTAACTCTTCACTCCCGTTAAACCCATTGAAACAAAATTCTACCAAGTTAGCAATAGCAAAAACCCCACAGTCAACCCCGTTTTTCTGTTGTTGCACATTTGGTAATACTGTTTTTTAAAACTTTTCACAGGTTTTTACATATTATGCATATTTAGCACAAGTCTTGACGAAGTTATGTCCCCTTAGTACGGGTACGGGAGGAAACAAAACACCCGCGATCACAACAAAGTCAGATTTTCATGTGAAATATGTTGTTTATTTCAACGAAACTTACATAATTATCAACAGTAAGGTATTTTCTTCTATATATCTGAAAATAACATGTTATTTTTCCTTAAATTTCTAGTTTTACCCCCTTGAAAAACACATTATCGTCGATTTCTAAATTATTAGATAATAAATAAACATTTTTGTAATTGTCACATTTAGAAAATAATGTTTGAAATTATCCTATATTTTTATAAAAATTATAAACCATCGCGTTAATGAGATATTAAAATATCTTTATATTCCCGGTACGGGAACGGGGTACAAGATTTACCTACCACCCTTAGATAGCAATCTAATTCTGTGTTCAAACCAATAAGATGGCCAATAGGAAAACAATGTCAGCAAAGGCGTTAACACAATAACAATATCATGAACACACCAGATCATCAAAAACAAATTATTTTTTAAGTTGCTCATACATCCCATAAATTTTTGGTGCAATATAGTGAGGTCAGTGAATTTTTTAAGTAAGATTTGGTAAAAAATAGTGAGATATTTTCTCTGAATTTGTGAGACATTTAAAACAGAAATAATAAAGCTTATCTTTTAACACGATAACAATATTATAAACACCGAATCATCAACTGTTAACACATCTGGCAAAAATTGTTGTTTTTGTAAACAAATTTATGTATTAAACTGCACAAATCTGCACAGTTAAAACACCTAGCAGACAGGAAGAAAAGATTTTGAAAAATATGGCAATAAAGCAATATTTCACTTATGTATTGCAATATGATACGATATGCCCGTGTTTTTCAATGTACCTTTTTTCCAATATATTGTGACAGCCCTGTTAAGGTGAAATTTGGAGACTCCAACTAATAAAACAAAAGTAAAGAGAATTTTTTAATATAAAAAAATTGAGTAAAATATTATAAACATGCATGTTATATTTTTTTGCATCGTTACAAGGATGAACCTATATGTTTACTTCAACTGCCCGAAACTGATTACGTTATGAAACTTACAGCGTACACACAGCAATATGTAAAAGGTCAGGGCATAGGAACAGGCCCTCAGAATGATACAGTGAGGTGCCATATGTTCTCCATGTTACGTTATTTTCCCACTGGGATTGGCTGCATGTTGAATTACTTTGTATTTAAGAAATCCAGAACACTCCAGCACTCAGTGTTCTCATTAAAAGCCGGTTACCGGCAAAAGTAGCCTGCTACAATTTTTTCAGAATACATATATAGGTCAACATTAATATTATAGCATGTGAACATTCAACCAGATATTCTTTTCAAGTCAACCACTTATGATCTATTTCAAAACTTGTATATAAGAACACTACTCCTATAATATAAGAGGCCGCTTGTGTCAAATTATCTAAAAAAAAAAATGCACTGCCAGTATACAGACCTAATATCAAATCTAACCTGAAAGTGGTTCAAATGACCCCTTCAATTTAATCAAACACCCATTTCCAGTCCCGCAAAGCTAAGGTTATAATCTTCCTTTGCTTTCAAAACGTGAAAATCCATTGTCCAATGTGATAGCTGTTTGGTGGAGGTGTGCACTTCAGCTTTCAACCATTGTATAATTGATGTATATTGAGTGAAAAAAAGTTTATATATTTTGGACGTTCAACGAATAAGCTTTGTCTGGGAAGTAATACATTTTTATCACATTTGTATGACATTTCCAGAAGAAAGGTCAAGTTTTTAGAAATCATATCAATAGAGACATTGTTTAAAATTATAATTATAATAAAACATTAATGGGTACATCCTACCAGTAAAAGCGTTAGAATGATTAAAAATTTGCTTGGCTTGGGACCGAACTGCGAGGGATAATACTGACAATAGGATGTTTTTAACTGTTTCAGGTAAAGATGGCCGATCAGGTTGAATTAAATAGTAAGTCCAGGAAAGTGAAGTCTTCCACGCTTCATCTGACCAAAAATGACAAGAAAATACTTGGTCAAAATACGGAAAGAAAGAAGGAGGTAGTTGCCTCTCAGGAAAAGTTTAGCACCAACAAAATGAGGACATACAACAGTGCCTGGACACCGGTGGTTCACAAGCCTTCCAATGAAATGGTGAAATACAAATATTAATAACCTACTTAAGATTCTATCATACAATAAATTTTGCTGTATATAATTTCAATGCTGTGAAATAAATTAGCATTTCACTGATAAATGATTCAATTTTATTGTTTTGTCCTAGCAAAAATATAATCAATTCTGCTTTTACTACTGAGCTTTAATGAGCAGCAGAGTACAACTCTTACCGTAGTTTGAATTGAGCTGGAATGGGAATAGAACCACAACTTCTGCTAGATAAGGAAGGATAAATATACAATACCATTGATAATGTAATGTTGATTCATAACAATTTATTATAACAATATAAATGAGGATGAGTAATAGAATGTGATGAACAATTTTTTATTTTGCAGATATTTCATGAAAGACGGGATCTGATTTCTCACTGGGTAAGGATGTAAAACCTGTAAATTTGGCTGAGTGTGTCTCCCTTGAAATTATTGATTGGCAGTTTTAAGAATTTTCCTGTCTGTTCATGGTGTTCATATTTTTGACAGAAATTAGTACATACCAATTTTCCCATGACATTTACACATATTTAAGTTTTCCAAAATCTGAAATTTAGCTTTTAGAATAAAAAAGTATTCCCCAATTCATTTCAGTTTAGCTTTAAAACAAGGAGAATTCAGAAGGGGACAATAATGGTTTGAATTGTTATAATTGTTTTGAAAATTGAAAAAGACCTGTGACAATTTCCAAAATATTCAGGAAAATCCTTGCAATTTCTAATCAGAATTAGCTGCTTTTAGGCATATTTTGTTTTGTTTTCCTCTTTGTCCTGCGCAAGAAACCATTTCAAGACAGTCATTAAAAATACAACTTTAATGATAGCTAGACTTCAGAAGCAGTTAAACTTGTGTAATCTTTATCTATATATAACAAAATATATATTCTGTCAGTGTGTTCTCCTTGTTCATCACAATATGTACCATAAAAAATGTCAGACCTTTATAATTATGTTATGTATACTCCATATCTATCCAAACCTAAGAGATATATTGATATGGCTTAAATGCAAACCCTGTTGCAAATTCTATGCTTAACTTATGCGTAGTAACAGTCCCGGTAACACTACAGGACCACTAGGCCCCTTGTAATTATGAAAATATTATATCCTGTTTTAAAAAAATGAAACAACTATTATTTAAAATTATTTTTCTCTGTGTTTGTTTCAGTTTGACCTTTGGTCGGACTCCCAGAGGAAGCGGTTCTTTGATGTGGTGTTCCAGCAGTGTCGACGTAACCAGTATAAGTTTGTACAGCAATGGTTCCAGGAGAGGGTCCCCCTCCAACACCTTGATTTCACCACTGTGCTGCCACGCTTTCTCAGTGTGTATATTTTCTCCTTTCTGGAGCCCCAGAGCCTTTGTAGAGCTGGGCAGGCCTGCTGGCACTGGAGGTTCCTCACAGCACAGGTAACATCCCTAAGGCAACCATCGACCTTAACTTAGGAGATCTTTTTTAAGTCTATGAGTGCAGCAGTCTAAAATCATTTGATTGTTTCCATTTTATGGCAGATTTGTGAAATCATTCAGGATCATGAACAACAAATAATTCTTCTATATGTAATTTTATAGACTGAGACTGATTTTACATGTTATGTAATTATAGGTTAGATGTTTTATTTTGTATACATTATTTAAAACAAACTTCTTATTTTTGTAGGATGAAATATGGATGCCAAAGTGTTTAAAGTATGGCTGGATCCTTCCTTACAAGCCTCCCAAGAATGAATATAGTGCATGGAAAAATCACTATGTGGCTTGTATACATACACAGGGCTATATCCCAGCTAATGATTTGGTAATTATTCTGTACTCAGATTTGATATAAAACACATACTCTGTACTCTGTAACACACAGGGCTGTTTTAGAAACTATTTTAGCTATGTACACTGTAAAAGTGATGCAATGGTATACAGAAAAACATAGCCAAATGTATGAATTGATCAGATAATATAAGGATTTGTATAAGATATATTACTCAGTATTGTATATGACTAATAAATTCAGCATTGTAAGGATGAAGAAATATATCACAGTGATAGTTCTACTATTGAATACTTTTATTAAAGCACTCGATTGGTGGGTTAGGTGGCCACCCAACTCTGTCTGTGTTGTCTACAAAGAAGACCAAATCAGCACCACGGTCCGGCCGCCTCTCGCCTACAACCAGCAGTAAGCCAGCCATTTTGCCTTCTTAAATGATAATTGCTTTTATTTGTATCATTACCCATTCCTCTCATTGCATTGGGTAACCGCAAGAACCGTAACAATCTAGTCTTTGATTCTCAAAGTGTCAGTCTGTTGTGAATTCACATGTAGATAATGATTTTTTTATGCTTGTGTATTTTGTCTATTAATTTTCAAATATGGAAGATATTAATTTATATAGAATGACACTTGACATGATTTTAATTCAATGTGGCTCATTTCCTTCCACTTTTTATTTTTTATTTCTATTGAAACCAGGACGTAACATGGATGTTAGACCTCCATGGTCTGGTGTGTCTCAGAAACCAAAAGACCTGGAAAAGTCTTTCTATGCCTTCCTTCATGGATTCAACCCCAATGATCCAAATATCCCCAAATCTGCCCTCATCCTACATAACAAGTGGGGCATCCCCAAGAAACAGCATGAACAGGCGCTAAGCCGATCCGAGGACTTTGAGCTTGGCCTTGATTCACACAAGCGGAAGAAAAGCCATAGAGTTCTCACGGTATGTTGACAATACAAATAATAACTGATTTACACTAAAATTTGTCCCAGACAGTTATTTTATACAAAAAACTGGAGAAACCATTTCATTGTCCTGAAAAAAACCTGTCTCCCTACTTTTGAGTTAGAGATTATTGTATAAATATGGTATGAACTAGAGCTGTCACGATACACTTTACTCATGATTCGATACGTATCTCGATATTTGTACCACGATTCGATTATTTCGATTCGATACACCTTTATTTTTATATATATAAACAAAATGAGATATATAAGCCATCGATTCCTCGGAAACCGGTAGTGTTTCCACACTTTTGATTTGAAGCTTGCCGGAGCATCACAAATTTTCATTTCCTTACGGCGGTCCGCCATTTTGTTATGAATGCTTTGTGAAAATTGTATCCTCGCAGCCGATTGGTTGAGGGTTTAGAGATCAGCCAATGAAATTGAACGTCTCACAGACGTTTCGGCTGAAGCGGCATACACTAATATTCAGAACGTGACGCATCGAAAATCCGGATAAATATATTGTGAATCGAATCAAACATAAATAATCTCTGCACAAGTGCAATTCGGTGAATCGTGACACCTCTAGTATGAACGGTATGTCTGTAAAAAGAAAATTAAATACACATAAAATTGCTGTACATATTAATATCACAATAAGTACATTTTATTCTGTTACAAATTTATGTCTATAAGGTGAAGGATATTTTAAGTTTAAAATATTGTTGTTAGGTTTTTTACACCCATTTCCTTGTCAGATAATACTAGGCGCCATACCAGTACAGTTCTCTGATGTTTGTCCTTTTTTATTATGTATATTAGTTGGTCGTTAATCTTATTTTTTCTAGTATATATATATATATGGTCCATAGCTGGTATATACCCGGGTGTGCTGTAGAGTTATCTAATGTTTATCCTATGTACAGTGTATATGGGGTCATTATGCTCTAGTAGGGAAAAGTATGTTATACAAATTTCAAAGTAATAAATACCGAGTAACACATGTTTATTTCAGGATGATAAAGTGACATTGTCACATGTCACAATACTAGAGGGTCATGTAAGTTCCTCACCATGTACAAACCCAACAGCATGTTGATGGGATCTAATGTCTGTGGTCCAAGCTGTCTCCCTTATTTACAGTGTTGTATTGCACCTGACTAGGAATAGTTCACATATTCATGTTATCATTATTTGATTAGAACACTGATTGAAGACATGTATTTGATTTTATCTGAAATGTTTCCTTTGTGATTGTCAGTTGTGTTTAGCAAAAATGTGTTTCCATATTCTCTGTCAAGCATAGTTTTGAGTGCCAACCCTAATTTTTGGATGCCTTAAAATCTTGATTATAAGCCTGATTACAAAATAGGCTGGCTTTAAAATCATTATGCAAAGTATTGCAAGGCAACCCATAGTCCCCGTGGTAATGATTACTTTATTTACCTAGCTAATAATCTCAGGATATAGTTCTCAGTGACACACTTCTTGTACTCCACAATCAGCCAGCCAAGACATACTTGCTACCAAATCTGGTTACCATCTAGGTGAAATATTTAAGAAGATAAAGGTTGAGGTCAAAGGTTAATCATAGGTCACAGTGACCTACTTCTTATACCTGACACTCCACAATCTCAAGATGTACTTGCATGCTAAATCTCGTTACTCAAGGTGAAATAAAATATAGAAAATATGCCCCAGAAAACTTTTCTTAGGTTGAGGTCAAAGGGCATCCAATAGGTCACAGTGACCAACTTCTTGTACATGGCACTTCCCCATGGCATCTAAAGATGTACTTGTATACTATATCTGGTTACTCCAGATGAAATAGTATAGACTATAGTAGATGTGCCGCAGACGGACGAAGTGCAAACAAAATGTTTCATTTTGAGGCAACCTAACTTTGAAAGAACAATGACATACACCGCAGTATGAGGCTTTGATCAAAAGTTACCACAGCCTGTTCTTTACTGTTTACAGGACTCAATCCAACAGATAACAGAAAAGAATAATCTTATATAGAATCTATGGTGGTGGGCGCCAATTAAAATCCCTTTGGGATCTCTTGTTTGATGTTGTGGAATACATATTGAAAGTGTATGAAAAACATATTGATAGTTGAACACACATTGATAATGCATGGAATAAACATATAAAGTATGGAATATATATTGATTGCGTATTGAATACATATTAAAAATATGGAACACACATTGATAGTCTTGAATACACATTGATTAGTGTTGAATAGACATTTATAGTGTGGAATACACATTGATGAAATCAGGGATAGAACTTGGATCACATTGTGTTGTATGTAGTGAAATAAATAATTCATTTTTGTGATCATCAATTCATTTTGCATGAATTTGTTTTATTAGCTCAAACTAATGTGAAAGTAATTTTCAAGTAATTACGTAAATAATTGAAACTAGAAATTATTAATTATTTCATAGTGAAATTATGAGGTAACTTTATTTTCTTAAGAAAGATTTGGTTCTTTCATTCATAATTGGATATATAACAGCATAACAGAATACTTACATCTAGAAAATGAAATTGTAGTTTTTGTCTTTTGAACATCAGATGTCATCCTTAGCATGTGAATACTGTACTACTATAAATATACTTGTATTAATACATGAACATCACCGTATCTGTGGGAGTGTAATAGATTTTGTCAGTGTATCCTTAGCCTTATCTGTGGGAGTGTAATAGATTTTGTCAGTGTATCCTTAGCCTTATCTGTGGGAGTGTAATAGATTTTGTCAGTGTATCCTTAGCCTTATCCAATGCATGGCTATTTCTTAGTCCCTGTAAATATAGACACCACTGTGTCACATGTAAAAATGTACTTATACAATACAAGGTACAAATGATTTATCTTTGTTTTAATTTTTCTCTTCACTGTAACCTTAATGTTTTTATAATCAGTATTTTTTACTTTTATATTTTGAGATTGTTGTTAAACCACTCCTAACTCAGCGGTATAGCTCGCAAAATCAGTTTGCTTTAAGTGCTTACTATTGTACACATTTGGGCTATGACTTCCATTGAGTTCAGGAATTTCTAATAAAACTTATCTTTTAAACCTTACACAGATAGTTGTAAAAATATTTTTGTTATTGCTCTGATATGTATGTGTATAAAAACTCAATGAATACTTTGTTTGCCAGTCTGGAGAAGACTGTGACCTGAAGCGTCTGTCTCAGCGTACGTCACTGAGGGACACGATGGAGCTTGAAAACATGGAAGAAAGACGAGTTAAACAGCTGGTGGATACAGAATGGTATCCCCCTAATAGGACACGAATACAGAAGTAAGTAACATCCAGTCCCCTTTTCCTTCTTCCTGTAACGACCTGCCCTTTCATTCCCCTCCTCTTTAAATGTCATGAGTACAGAAGTATACCTGGTAATGCCCTCCTCTTTCATTGCCCTCCTCTTTAAATGGCATGAGTACATAAAAGTAACCGGTAACTCCAGAAGTATACCTGGTAATGTCCTCCTCTTTCATTCCCCCCCTCTTTAAATGTCATGAGTACAGAAGTATACCTGGTAATGCCCTCTTCTTTCATTGCCCTCCTCTTCAAATGACATGAGTACATGAAAGTACCTGTTAACTCCTCCCCTACAGAAGTAGGTACCTGGTATATCCCTCCCCTTTCATTCCCCTCCATTTCAAATGACATGAGTTCAGAAGGAAATCACTTTCTTTCTTCTTCTCTCTTACAGGAGAGTTAGAGGTAGGGAAACCCACTTCCCTTCCTTTCCTGTCTCTTCTCCATCATCAATATCCCTTACCAACTTTTTTCATTTGCCAAATCAGCCTTGCTCCCTTTTCTCTACATGTCCCCTAAGATATCCCACTCCCTCTGTTTCTGTTACCCTTCTCTATGGTCTATATCCTCCTTTTTTCTTCTTTTCCTTTCTATCTTTCTTTTTCATCTACTTTCTTAACCCCATCATCCCACTTCCTTTCCCTTCCTCTCCCCCTTTCCCATAACTAACCCTCCTGTCCCCTTATCTATTCCAATGACCTCTTTTCCCAATCCTTTTCCCTTTATGTTTTTTTCCTTTCCCCTCCAGCTGTCCTCTCACTCTTACAGAATTCATTAAAATATGGAGGCTGATGAAACATAAATGATAAGCCTTTACCGAAGCACTTCATCTACATTTGTTTGTGTTACCCACAGGCCTGACATGACTAAGGGTGTGTTCCCCTACAACATCAACCAGACTGAGTCTGACATTAAAGGCCAACTACAGGTGGAAAAGCCTCGAGTGATCTTCATCTCCTCCAGGGTACCAGCTGCTGATGTAAGTTGTTGTCTGATGAAGAATGTACGAAAGGAGGACCTCGGCATAAAGGACATATTTAGATGTGAATTATAGATCAATATGTATATGTTGATTATAGATCAATATGTATATGTTGATTAAAAATAACTGTTGTTGAACACTTTCAGAAATATTTGTTTTACCACAACAGTAAGAAATTGTTGTTCCTTCATTATTTCTTATTAGACTTAGTGGTTAGATATTGTTTTGTAAAATTGCAGATTGTGCCTTCTAGTTCCATTGATATTTTTATAATGTGCAATATACTTTTACTATATAGTTCTTAAACAAACAGTCAGTGACTTCTGAATGAAGGAAATATTTTTTGACATCCTAAATATATTGATATATATATATCATAAGTAGACATGATTGTGTCACATACAACTGTCAGGGTTATACTCAGAGGTTAAGGTCACAGTAAGGGTAAATGATAAAATTAATGACTGACCATTATAATGAAACTTCAAACATGCATTATAACCATTATAATGAAACTTCAAACATATATTATAAGTATGTAAAGGAGGGATGTCAGCTACCTCTTTCAGGTCTGTATCACCTGTAATACCTAGGTATCAAAGGTCAGATCATTATGTTTCCACAGGCATTACCACAGTAGATCTGGATCACTTTACAACACTGGTTTATATACGTTTCCTGTATAAAGTGTTTTACCGTATTTTTCTACCAGTTATTGGTTGATGCTGTGCTGTTTGGAGTTATCCCAGTGGTGTACGAGTATGAAGGCACTACAACAGAAACTCTCCTTCTTAAACTGGAGAAGGCACTCCAAGGGAGACAAGCACAGTGAGTTTTGTTTGTCACATCATCTCATTGTAACAATATAGCTTAGCTATTTAATTGTAACTTCTGAATCTGTATTCAATTTAGATAAAGTCTATAAATTGAACAAGCAATGTTTTGGCCCACCATCTTAAAAGTTTGTTGTCCATCCACCGTCTGTCCGTAAACAATTCTTGTTATTGTTATTTCTCAGAAAGTACTCTGGGGGATCTTTCTCAAATTTCATATGTAAGTCCCCCGTGGTCCCTTGTTAAAATCACCCCAACCACTAATGAGAATTCATCCCTTATTGACAACACTTCTGATTATGTAAGAATTACAAATTTTTAGCATTTCACACATTCTTATACAATTCTTATACAATAGCATTTGCCATAGTGGCAAATTAAGTAACATATGACATTACGTGGTTTTAGTTAATGTAAAAGATTCCCATTTGGGATTTTGACAATGGGACAGAGTAGTGATACCAAAGAAGGTAAAAGATTATCTTATGTAGATCAGATCTGATTAAGATACTTTGATGGTGGGCACCAAGATCCTTCTAGGATTTATGTTTACAAATAGTGAACCTGAAAGAATACCCATTGAGCTGTCAATAATACATTATGTAACATTCACCTTTCTGGTATTATATTGATCTACAAGGTTGTTTAATTGTCATGTACAACTTAAATCTCACTGAAACATCAAATGTTCTGTTCCACAGGAGTATTGGCCTATTTTGTCATAGCCAGGAGCCTGGAGAGTTACGATTGGTCCAGAATTGTACTGTTACCTTGGATACTCTGGATTCAACCAATGTCTCCCAGTTCTTTGAAACAGTGGCTGACCGCATTATACCACCAAACAAGGGGGGACAACTGGATGTGTTTGTCCCCCTCGCAGCATCAGGTACATCAGCTTTAAATTTCTCATGGGTTTCTGGGAAATAATTTCAAGAGTTATTACAACATCCTGAAATCTGATTACAGATTCAGGTGTTGAAGTCTTTCTACAGCATTGTGTCTTATAGAAGATTGTGCCCTTCAAGCATGCATTAGTAAAATAAGCAAATGAAATTTAAATTTAAAAAATGAAACATTTGGACTCAAAATGTTTTGGTAAGTTTTATTCAGAAACATTGATTTTTTCCACATAGCATAATGTTTATAATTGCTGCTTTTGTTTTTCTGTCATTTCTTTCGGTTCCTATACACCAACTTGAAACTGTCAAAGGTTTAAAAATAATACAATGGAACTTCTTTTATATGAACCCAGATATCGTATGCTCCAGATTTTCTGTCAAATGACAGAATATTTCTGCATTTTCTACGAATTTTCACTCTAAGGAGAAATATGGTTGATCGTGCAACCCTTGTTCTTCTACAGATATCTTCAGTCCCCTTTTATTTGGTCCAATGATTTATTTTCTATGCACTTTATTCCATGGACCATCATATAACTTTTGTGTTCTTCAGAACCAGGCATGGAGATATTGACACAACTAAGTGTGTCGACAGGGATGCATTTATCCTCCCCTACAGGGATCATTGGCTACTACAACCATGGTAAGCAAGTTGGATATATCTAGTTTGTATTCATTTCTAATATATATTCATAAAATTGATTTAGATCAGACAAAAAATCTTTTCACCTTTGGCATCCATGACAACAGTAATATCTATAAATGCACAGGAGACTTGATGTCAGGAGTTAATCTTGTCTACCCCCACACTGAAGACCTTAGGGGAAACCAGACCCATCATGTCTTCAAGTCTTATTACAGTTTATGTGACTAAATATGAAAACAAGACTATAGTGTACCAATCACAATCTCAGGCATGGAGAGTACTGATTTCAGAAAAGTAAAAGTTTAGAGTTATGTGCTTATCTTTTTCAATTGGGGCTCGGCTAACCAGAGGTACGACTTGGATAATGAAATACTAGACTGTAATGTTACTTGGGAACTTTTAAAGGAATATTTTCACATTCTTCAGTGCAACTAAAAAACTGTTTATGAAAAACTCTTGGCAAGAAATAATTAAATGAATAAGTATGAACTTATTGTGATTATTCATGACTCTTGCTTTACTTTAAACAATATTCTTTGTGCCCCATTACATACTTAGTCTTGTAGTACATCAGTGTGTCTTGTGATTTCAGTTAACAGTGATTGGCTGTTGACTTACAAGGAGGGTCCACCTCCGTCCATGTACTTCTGTACGTCCAAACTAGATGTGTGGTCCAACACAGCTGACCAGGCGAAGGAGGCACTGACCACCTGTAAGAAACTGCTGTCTCCCTACTTTGAGAAAACACACAAGGATATTGTGTCTCAGCTGACAGGTAGGTCCTCCATACAATTTGACCAGGATATGTGTTTCCTTTTATTGACAGGCATCTTACCATTCACAAACAATACAAAACAACTGAGAAATGAAACTTATCAAAGTTTTTTTTTAAATGAATAGTTAAGAACAAATCTGTGAGCAAAACATATATTAATATTTTCTGTATAAATTTTCTTTGGATCATGTAGCTCATCAACATATTTTCCAATTTTTACCTCCTGTTATGTTTATTGTAGGCATCAAGTCTTTATTTCTGAAGAAGGAAGTTTTTACACATTACTATCTTACAGTGCACATTTGTTCATATATTTGGTAGTAATTTTGTTTAGTTAGATATGTATTATTCCAAATAAGATCCATTTCTCATCAGAAAGGGATTTGTGCAGTAGTTTGTAATGATGCATATACAGCTCCTTTTATCACCTCTTGTAGGTCAAGTTATGTTTGATGTACTTGGGCAGACAGAAATACAGGGAGCTAACAAAATAGCTGATGTCCTGACTGAGGGCCTCCGAAGTCTGGGCAGCGAGGATAACGTATGTCTACATAGTGTTCACATGTTATTTCTGTAAAACCTTATGTACTCATATATCACCTTGAGTGCGTCATCTGTTAAAAGAATGTGTTTATTCATAATTCCACGGGACTACGGATTAGAAAGCAATGATATATTAAAAGCATTGTCTATCTTGTGTAACTAACTGTGGAAGTAACTCACTAAAAGGGAATCCTCAAATAACGCAGGTCTAGGGTTTACTGTTTTATTTGTCAACTTCTAGCGCACAGGAAGATCTTGAAATATTCTACTAGCTTGACCTATGTTTTTCATCAAAGTAGAAATTGATAATTTTCAACTAACTTTTGACTAGAAGAATTGTACTCCACTAAACTGATGTGAACATATATACATATCTAATAATGAAGGTCTGGTTTGATAATCTGTGCTCTTCCTTGCATTGACAAAAAGCCTTATTCCAGTATATTATTCTTAGTTGGTCTTTAAATGCAGAAGTGAGTCTGTTTTCAACTGTGGGTTTTTCTTTAATTTTAACGTGGAATAACTTTACACTGCCCCTGTTTCTTGTCATTTGATAGCACCTCTAATGGCTGCTTAATTCTGATCAGCTGATGTTTGCATGCATTTTCATCCCCAAATATCTTCAGTATGGACATTAATTCCATCAAGTGTGTTTGTTTTAAAATCATCCATCTTTTCTAGGTGAACCCTCTTGAATTCCTAGGGAAGTTTTTACTACAGCGAGCTGGTGTAGATGATCTGTCATTCACAAGCAGCCTGGAAAAGGTAAGTCCCATTCATAGTCACACTTACAATACACTCACTCTTATCAATGTAAGTGTTGTTTGGGTCATGGTATCTTATAATCCTCTTTCTTTTCAGTGTTTGGTTTATTGGTTTAGGTAAAGGTCTTAGAAAAGTTGCACTTGATATTGCAAATTTTATTTGCCAGCTAAAGAAATATATTACAATAGACAATAATCTTTATCTTTAAAAAGAAAATTTGCATAGTAGAAAAATGCCACTTTGTACTGTAAGCATTACAAATCATCTTCTTACAGTAAGCATTACAAATCATCTTCTTACAGTAAGCATTAAAAAGCATATTCTTACAGTAAGCATTACAAAGCATATCCTTCTTATTCAGTCCAGGACGATGAAACGCCCCCCTGTGGATCGTTACGAGTCTGTGGACTCATCAGCTGGCGATGATGACGTGGACCTTGAGGACAGTGAAGTGGAGCAGATCAATGGTCACACCAAGGAGGAGACGGCCTTTGGGGAAGAAGATGAAGTCGGCGAGGAGGAAGAATTGAAGGAAGGTAAGGACACAGTGAAGACAATCTCTTGTTTTGTATGTAAGGACTAGTGTATCTACAGTATAATCTGAACCATCAACTAGCTGGAAAACTGGCTTAGATTTATTCAGTTTTCTACATGAACAATATCCTAATTGATATGTTGAATGTGAAATTACTAAAGAACAAGTATTTGAATTGTTATGTTTATATATTGCTCTACCAGAGACCTCACCAAGAGAAATGAGAGAGAAGGCACAGAATGAACAGAGCGAGAAGGCACAACAGAGACAGAAGAAAAAGGGCAGAAAAGAGCAGACGACAAAGAAAGGACAAATGACTCAGCAGATGAAAGACTTCAAAGTAAGATTTGGGACCATGACTCTGACAGGAAAACATGAGCGCCTGGTGAGTACAATAATTACACATGATAATGTATCGATAGCTTTTCTATTTTTACCTACTTTGAAACAAAACAAAACGTCTGAAAAATTTGGCAATTTCCTTTTCAATTTGTCTTGTTTTTGGTGAATCAGAAAGATAACACATATTTGCAAAAGTAATGTTCTAAATGACATACACTCCCACAGACTGCTAAGAAGTTCAGTGAGTACCCTGAAAAGAGAACACCTGTTGCTATGGAGATTTTGTCCAGTGAGGTGGAGTACAACAGAATATTGAAAGGAATTAAAGACACCTATGTAAAACCTCTCAAGGCAGCCCTCAGCTCTGACAGGTAGGTAACAAAAAGTTATGTAAATTCATATGAAAACTACATAAACAAATGATTTTAACTAGAACATACAAAAAAATCAGGATTTTTGAAAGATCTTCTTTGCTGCCAAAAAAGTGTTACAAGGAATTCACAAAAATGAACTGCAGAATTTTTGATTGTTGTAAAACTCCATTTTTTTGGCGGTTTATCAATTATGAGCTATACTGCTGAACAAAGATGACATACATATATGTATATGTGAAATATTGCATGTAGATTTAAATGATGAATCTTATTTGTTGTGTTTCAGGGCCATTGCCAGTTTCCAGAATGTGCAGATCATATTCACAGACCTCATGTATATATTGGATGTTAGCAGGTAATTTTGCCTTAAAATTCCAGTCAGTATCAGATATAAACACAGGTCTATGAACTATCTCGTGCTCTAATTTTATTCAAGGTTGCTTTTAATCAAAAACTTTGTCACTTTATAGGTTAAGAATTTTGTGGATAAAAATTACATTGACTTCTCTTCAAGGTCAAAGGGGTGAAATTTGTTATATATAGAATCATGATATTAGGCTGGTAGCTTCCTAAGATAAAGGGCAACAAAGTTTGGGGAAAAATGACTTTGACCTATATTTAAGATTAGAGGGGCCAAATATGTGTAGGTGAACTGGACTGGGTCGATCGTCGGCAACCAGGTAGCTCAATTGGAAGAGTGTTCGTCTAGAATTCGGTGGGTCCCGGGTTCGAACCCCAGTCTGGCCGTGCATTTTTCCTTTCCTGTTATTCACAGGAGTCAAAAAAAAACAAAAAAACTATGACTTCTTCTGAAGGACAGAAAGGCCTGGAGTCATGAATTTAGGACAGTAGCTTCCTGGGGTGGAGCTCAATTAAGTTTGTAAGTAAAAATGGCCTTAACCTATATTCAATGTCACAGGAGTCAATTATTTCAAAATCTTCAAATAACTTTTCTCAAGAATGGAAAGGTGATATTAGGCTGGTAGCTTTCTGGAATGTAGCCCAACAAAGTTTGCGAATAATAATGACCTTGAACTACTGTTGCTTTTGAACCAAAGCGCCAAGGGTCATGATAGCATGCTCAGATAAAGAGCTATCAAGTTTGTTCAAATGAATGCATTTTCCTTTAATTCAATATATATCACAGAGATCAAATGAGGTAACTTCTTCTGAATAACCCTATAATTACTTGGGATAAGGATATACTTGGCCAGTACCTTGCTGACTTGAATGTCTGTCATTTGTATTGAAAGAAAGACCTTTAACCATAATCAAGATCACAGGGGTCTGATGTGTTGAAAACCCTTATAATAATAATACATGCAATAATATACAGCATTTGATATAGCGCCCTATCTCGCTAACATAAGCCACTCTAAAGCGCTTTACAGTTCATAGATATACATTAATCAATACAATTAGCATATACATTAATTAATTCAATTTTGAGGGATTTGCAGGAGCTGCCTTATCAGGCGCTACCTACTTGTCCTACGCCACCTGGCTAATATCTTTCTATGTGTGTATGCCTGCATGTGAGCTGGAGATGTAATGATGTAAAAGACTTCTGAATACACAAAAGTCTGAGAATTATGATATTTGCCATAAGCCTGCTGGGATGAAAGGCTACAGTTGTGTGACTGCACAACGCACCAAAAATACCTTGCGCACACCGTGCATACATCGTTCACACACCGTCCACGCATCGTCCACACATGGTGCGCACAACTGTGCGATTTAACAATCGTTCGCCCCGTTGTGCTCTTCTCCGCACAACTGTGCGATTTGGTACAATTTGTTGATCAATATTGAGGAATGACAAAAATATGGAAGGCTCGTATGCAATAATGTACACTGTATATATTACTGTAATTCTCTCATCTCTATAATTAAGATTATGTTTAATTTTACAATGTGTGTTACACAGTATACAGTGACCGTTAGACTGTCAATAATTGGTTTGGCTCCTCGGTAACAGAACAGGTAAATAACAATTTGATGAGTGACCAGAGTTTTACCTGGCCTTTGTCCGACACATAGAGCTGATATGTGATACCGTATGACCGTTATGAAAACACAACTGGACGTTTAATATTTGGTATTTGCATTCGTTTTGGACTATAGCTCCCCTTCACCTGGTTTTCACACCTTGGTGAGTTACATAAGTGCCCCGGGTGGGGGAAAACTACGGTCCAGGTACAAAGTGGCTGTGTTGCCGATACTGTGTTGTAATTTTACATGTGTCGATTAAGGTCCTCTAAAAAAACACAGAAATCACCATTTCTAAATTTAAGAAAGTATAGACAGAAAGATAAGCTTATATATGTAGCTTGAATATAGAAACATACTAAAAATCAAGTTTATATGTTTATACATGAAACCGTATTTATTGTTAAGCCAATCCTCAATTTACACCAACCACGTTTGTTATCGCACAACGTTCGTCAATCGTCCCCACAAATGTGCGCAAGCAACGATCGTCCAATTTTTTATCGTTCGAACTTCGTGCACACATCGTGCGCACACCGCACATCGTGTAACGTTGTGCGATCCCACAACTGTATCAAGTTTTCGAAATGAATAACCTTCATAAACATTCAATATCACAAGGGTCAAACATGTTAAAATCTTTTATCGGGTTCTTCTGTGTCATGGATAATGATATTGCACCTGTAGCTATATTTTGTCCATTTAAATGTATTTGACTTTTTTCCACATTTAAGGTTATAAGTGTCAGATTGATAGAAGGTGAGCAATGCAGATTATAAGTGTCAGATTGATAGAAGGTGAGCAATGCAGGTTATAAGTGTCAGATTGATAGAAGTTGAGCATGCACGTTATAAGTTTCAGATTGATAGAAGGTGAGCAATGCAGGTTATAAGTGTCAGATTGATAGAAGGTGAGCAATGCAGGATATAAGTGTCAGATTGATAGAAGGTGACCAGTGCAGGTTATAAGGGTCAGATTGATAGAAGGTGAGCAATGCAGATTATAAGTGTCAGATTGATAGAAGGGGAGCATGCAGGTTATAAGTGTCAGAGTGATAGAAGGTGACCAGTGCAGGTTATAAGTGTCAGATTGATAGAAGTTGAGCATGCACGTTTTTAGTTTCAGATTGATAGAAGGTGAGCAATGCTGGTTATAAGTGTCAGATTGGTAGAAGGTGAGCAATGCAGGGTATAAGTGTCAGATTGATAGAAGGTAAGCAATGCAGGTTATAAGTGTCAGATTAATAGAAGGTGAGCATGCAGGTTATAAGTGTCAGATTGATAGAAGGTGACCAGTGCAGGTTATAAGTGTCAGATTGATAGAAGGTGAGCAATGCAGGTTATAAGTGTCAGATTGATAGAAGGTTAGCAATGCAGGTTATAAGTGTCAGATTGATAGAAGGTTAGCAATGCAGGTTATAAGTGTCAGATTGATAGAAGGTGACCAGTGCAGGTTATAAGTGTCAGATTGATAGAAGGTGAGCATGCAGGCTATAAGTGTCAGATTGATAGAAGGTGACCAGTGCAGGTTATAAGTGTCAGATTGATAGAAGGTGAGCATGCAGGCTATAAGTGTCAGATTGATAGAAGGTGACCAGTGCAGGTTATAAGTGTCAGATTGATAGAAGGTGAGCAATGCAGGTTATAAGTGTCAGGTTGGTAGAAGGTGAGCAATGCAGGTTATAAGTGTCAGATTGATAGAAGGTTAGCAATGCAGGTTATAGGTGTCAGATTGGTAGAAGGTGAGCAATGCAGGTTATAAGTGTCAGATTGATAGAAGAGGAGTAATGCAGGCCCATTGGGCCTCTGTCATTTTGCACGTTTTATTCTGAGACCTAACATATGATGAAAATAGAAACCAATGAAATATACCTTCTGTATCGCAATCTGATGTTCTCATATCAATGATGTTATACTTTTCTCTAACTCTGTGCTACCTTTGTACTTCGTACATGGCTGGTCTGTGTGACCCCTGGAACTAAATTGGCTGCGATTACTTTGCACTAACACCTCTGATATGCATATCTTATTGTGTCTATAAGAGTTTGCGAAATTAATGCCATTCGTTGTTGCAGTGAAATGGTGGACGACTTGAAGAATCGCCTTGCTGACTGGGACGCGACCAATACTTGCCTGGGGGACATTTTTGTTCGCTTCTGTACCCATCTCAAAGTCTACACTAACTTTGTCAACAACTACGATGTCATCCTACAGTGTATAGAACGCACCAAAGAACAAACACCTGCATTCCGTGCCTTTCTCCATCGCCATGAACGCATCCCAGAAACTCGCAGGATGACGTGAGTTAGACATAAAATCTAAAAAGCGATTATAAATCTTAAAAGGAAATTATTTCATCTTTTTGTGCTTCAGGTTATTTTTCTTATTGAGTCAATTGAATTAAAAGGTAAGGGGATTTCCTTTCATGACATGTGTAATTTTAGATTCATTGAGAGGATAAGGTATTTAAACTAAATAAAGCATGGTTGAACAGAGAACAAAGAAAAAGGTTTTAGCGAAAGCTTTTGGTCCATATAAGAGGGGTGGTATTATTTACTATTATTTCGCTGATAACAGGCTACAAGAGTTGATGTTGCTCCCCCCTCGCCGTATAGAACAGTATGCCTTCCTGCTGAACTGGTTTGAGATGCACACACCAACACAACACCAGGATAGAGCTGATCTAGCTGATGCCATTAAAACAATAGGAACCTTGAACAGACACATACAACAGGTAGGCTGTGTTTACTTACAATACAAGTGTATTATCAGACTTTGACTTTATAGACATTGTATGTCCACATGATTCTAATGTTATTATGTCCTGATACAGAATTGTTAGTGATGCTGATACATTTGCTCTTTTTGTAACTGCTGAATTTGTAGACATTGGAGGCAGCCACTCTGTTAGGTTTAATTTCTCACCACTGCTGGAATTGGACTAGCATTAAACCAAACTAAGTGGAGTTAATGTTTTTCGTTTTCGTGGAGCAATTCATATTTTCAGAAATTGTGTACAGACTGAACATATTAGTGTGGTTTATATTTCAGACTAAACTGAGACTGGAGAGGGACATGTGTACAGCCTGAATTAATTGGTGTGGTTTATATTTCAGACTAAACTGAGACTGGAGCGGGACAGAACAATGTTAATTGGTGTGGTGTATATTTCAGACTAAACTGAGACTGGAGAGGGACATGTGTATAGCCTGAATTAATTGGTGGGGTTTATATTTGAGACTAAACTGAGACTGGAGCGGGACAGAACAATGTTAATTGGTGTGGGGTATATTTCAGACTAAACTGAGACTGGAGAGGGACATGTGTATAGCCTGAATTAATTGGTGGGGTTTATATTTCAGCCTAAACTGAGACTGGAGCGGGACATGTGTATAGACTGAATTAATTGGTGAGGTTTATATTTCAGACTAAACTGAGACCGGAGCGGGACAGAACAATGTTAATTGGTGTGGGGTATATTTCAGACTAAACTGAGACTGGAGATGGACATGTGTATAGACTGAATTAATTGGTGGGGTTTATATTTGAGACTAAACTGAGACTGGAGCGGGACAGAACAATGTTAATTGGTGTGGGTTATATTTCAGACTAAACTGAGACTGGAGAGGGACACGTGTATAGACTGAATTAATTGGTGTGGTTTGTATTTCAGACTAAACTGAGACTGGAGCGGTACAGAACAATGTTAATTGGTGTGGTTTATATTTCAGATTAAACTGAGACTGGAGAGGGACATGTGTATAGACTGAATTAATTGGTGAGGTTTATATTTCAGACTAAACTGAGACTAGAGCGGGACATGTGTATAGCCTGAATTAATTGGTCGGGTTTATATTTGAGACTAAACTGAGACTGGAGCGGGACAGAACAATGTTAATTGGTGTGGGGTATATTTCAGACTAAACTGAGACTGGAGAGGGACATGTGTATAGACTGAATTAATTGGGGTGGTTTATATTTCAGACTAAACTGAGACTAGAGCGGGACATGTGTATAGACTGAATTAATTGGTGTGGTTTGTATTTCAGACTAAACTGAGACTGGAGCGGGACAGAACGATGTTAATTGGTGTGGTTTATATTTCAGATTAAACTGAGACTGGAGAGGGACATGTGTACAGCCTGAATTAATTGGTGGGGTTTATATTTCAGCCTAAACTGAGACTGGAGCGGGACATGTGTACAGCCTGAATTAATTGGTGGGGTTTATATTTCAGACTAAACTGAGACTGGAGATGGACATGTGTATAGACTGAATTAATTGGTGAGGTTTATATTTCAGACTAAACTGAGACCGGAGCGGGACAGAACAATGTTAATTGGTGTGGGGTATATTTCAGACTAAACTGAGACTGGAGCGGGACAGAACAATGTTAATTGGGGTGGTGTATATTTCAGACTAAACTGAGACTGGAGATGGACATGTGTATAGACTGAATTAATTGGTGTGGTTTGTATTTCAGACTAAACTGAGACTGGAGCGGGACAGAACAATGTTAATTGGTGTGGTTTATATTTCAGACTAAACTGAGACTGGAGCGGGACAGGACAATGATAACACTACAGAAGTCCATTCTGAACTCACCAGTAAGTAAACTGACTTTACAAGCTGAGAAAGTAACTTGAGTTACCTCCCCTATACCTTTAACATTACCTCAGATGAAGAGTCCCCGTTATTCAGTTTATTTGGTGACAGTTGACCTAGCCATCAGAAACGTATTTGACAGAAGCAATGTGAACCATGTTGAAGGTGATAATTGGGGATTCAGGTTACCCTTGGTATCAATCAAAGAATTCTGCGGTAGAAAAAAACAATAAGGACATAATTATATTGGTTTCCCTTACCATATAACAGTACTTATACATGCATTTTACTTTGTAATAATATCATAAGGCACATTATAGTGTAGAGAGGTAGCTTTCTTGTGCTTTAATTCATGAAGAATGATACAATTACTGTCAAAGTTGTAAATTTCTGTGTTTTTGTAGAGTCTCCTGGAATCCAACCGCTACCTAATTAAACAGCTTGATGTGGCCAACCTCCGACCTCCAGCCAAGACCATGGTTCCTGAACTTAGGTAAGGGCTGAATGATGGCTTATTAGACAGTTTGCATTATTTATCCAGCAAAGTTAGGGCCCCCTTCATTAACGAAAAGCGTCATTATCTGCAGTTTCTGCTTACCAGTAATAACTCTAGCAAATATTTGCCAAATTCCTTCAAACTTCATAACAATGTTTGTGTTCCTCTGTCTTTCCACCCATCTCGGGCACTCTTTGATTTTCGTGTGATAATTGCTGTAGATATTGTTCAGATGTTTCAACCAAATTTTGTATGCAATCCGACTCATGCTAAGTTTGCCAACCGATGTGATTTGTGCATATTTATGGATAATCAATGAGGAATAGGGCTTTTTTTTCTTTCTTCAAGTTTCAAGCTTTACATTATGTCTCAACAGCAAGATACTTACTTGTTTAAACCTAACCTCAATAATGTTAACCTACAATATGTCCTGCAAGCAAGGACATAATTTCCACGAATTTGCTTGTTTTACACGGATGTACGATTGCAGGCTTCACAGTTACATGATTTGAACAATAATAATTTTGATTAATTAACTGTGGTTGTTATCAAGCATCAGGGAAGTATAGCAAATGAACAAAATAATCAATAAATACAGGTATATTGCATTGTTATGCAAAAATATTTTTGTCACATTTACCTGTAAATCAGTTCGATAAATAACGGAAATCTTTAATATTAATAATGCAAATGGTAATATTTGTGTGAAAGACTTTTTACAGTAAAATTTATTTATTTTGTGCGGAATAGTACACTTGTGAAGTGTATACCCATTAGCGGATAATCAATGTAAGAGTATATAGCATGAAAATCTCTAAAATTTGTTCTAGTTCGGATGTATTCGGGCGGACGCTCTTTAATAGGACTGTATATGTATTTAGAGATAAATGTGAGTAAAGTAACTACCAGGTACATTTCTTATTTGTCTTATTGACATTACTGGCTCAATGTACGAGTGTGTACTAATGTGCAGTGTAAATAATGATGTTACAGTTGCACTTTCAACAAGAATGATACATATCTTACACGTTTCTAGTTTTGTTGATGGTTGAAACTAATTATCAGTAATTCAAATTCATAAAACTGCCATACAATCTTAGTATTTGTTTTACTGCAAGCAACATGACAACAACCAATGATTTACTGACAGTTTTCATCCTGATGATAACCTACCAGTAAACAGAATACATCTCGGGTCATTTGAGTGCTCCTGCACTAGACGACTCAGTAAAGTTGAACCATTGGATAAGTCAAATATTTTGTATTGGTCCCATAGAACTTTTGAGTTTTACTGTATGCAGATGTTAAATAAATACAGTATCTATGTATACTTGTTTGAGGTAGATACAGTATCTATGTATACTTGTGTGAGGTAGATACAGTATCTATGTATACTTGTGTGAGGTAGATACAGTATCTATGTATACTTGTGTGAGGTAAATACAGTATCTATACTGATGCTTGGTTAATAAATACAGCTGTTACCACCTTCAGGTGAGTCACACTAATGAATGTCATTAATACATTTCAATCGATCCAAATGATTTTTTATGAGGTAGATTCAATTCATTTTATACCCTCAAACTCTTTTGGTACCATTCAAACTCAATTACAGGATTTTCAAGTTAAAGGGGGAAAGATTTGGAGTATTTTCGATCAGTGTCAATTGTTTGAAAATCAAAGTCTTTCATTTTTGCCCCCACCATTTTGAATGACACAGGTGTGAGATGAATGACAGGTGAATGATACGTATACTTACTCATTGAACCTCTTGTTCAGTCAAGTAAGCATTTTGTATACAAGATATTTCCAAGTGGATTTAATGTAAAGCTCATTCATATAGGTAATGAAAAGTGCTGAAATTGAGGTCTGCTTGAATGATGTGCTGATTATCTCCCCTTAGGCATGTCCACCTGGGTGGCAACTAGCCGACAATTTTGCAGGAAAATTGCAGAAAAGTGATGGAAAAGTGCTTGAATTTCGTCCTGTAATCACCATATGAACCATGTTACTGTAGAAGTGTTATAAATGATGTGCTTGTCATTTATGCAAATCAGAGGCTCATTACAGTTCCTCAAGTCTCATAAACATAAACCCTTTTTTGTTTGGAAGTTTGAATTATCCATTTTTTACTATTTATGAGCAACTTCTACAACACGTTTTATGAGTGTAGTGATGTAATGTCCCTTTAAACATTCATTGATTGGTTTATATTACGTGATAAACATTTGTGGCCAGTCATCCGTGTATAACTAGTGTCATTACTAATAGGATACGGTTATCTGTTAAGATCTAAATGGCAGTTATATGTATACACGTTTTTACCTCGGATCTGACATGTGCTTCTCACTTGATAATATGCTCAACCTACCATAGGTACATTAAAGTCACAAATAATCTTTTGTCATATAAGTTGTAAATTCAACTAGAATATTGGCACATATATGATGTCGTGTATATATTTTTTAACAAATTAGGTATTCATTTGGTGGATTAATTAAAAAAAAAAGAGGGGAAGTGGAAAACGCTTCTTGCCTTTTTTCTTAACTTCTTTATTAAATTCAGGTCGAAAAATTAAGATGAATATAACAAATAGCTAGACTTCCTATCTTTGACATTTTGTTAACCATTGTACAACACAGAATGGAATAAGAAATAATGATGTGCTGATTATCTCCCCTTAGGCCTGTCTGCAAAGTGGCAACCAGCTGACTAATAATCTAAAATTAGACCACTTTTTTTTGATGTCATCATCGTCTGCATAGCTAAAACTTTGGAAGCATTTCAACTAAAATAGAATGTAAAGTATGTCCTACTTGCCACCCAATGAAATGTATTTAACTGTAGTTATTTAATGCCTCATCATTGTTCATTTCTAACTGCATGTAAGGTTCTTTCAGTTTGATAAAAAAAAAATGTATTTCAAAACATTATACCGACATGGAAATACTCAAAATACAAACGGGATAACAAGAGCTTCTGTCTTACACTGAATAGCTTATCTTCTGGTACACTGATGATTACCTGGAGTTGATAAAAAGAATTTCACTTAAACTGTATCAAATGCCCATCTGTTTTCAATTATCATGTCTGAGACATTGTAATTCTCCACTATAGCATGGCAAGGTGACAGAAATTCAATTAACATGAAACGCAATTTTTTGTCTGTCTAAATACCTTTCCTTGGTACAGGGAGGAGAAAAAATACATTGTGCTACAGATGTATACTGACTTTTTGTTTCTGAATCCTGACCTTTAAAAAACCTGTAAATAACTTGATAAATATATGTTTGTCAGTGCTTTAAAAAAAACAAATGTTACTGTTGTGAAAACGCTTTTCTCTGGTATTTCAAAAGACAAGAACTGTCTTTTGGTGCTCACCTATCTGTATAGAACATCAGAGGATATCTCTCCGTACAGATGTACTTATTGTACTTGCATGGGCAGAATGGTGACCTAATTTCTCCCCTGGTGATTCTTTTCCTGGCCTTCATCTACATTATTATACAGAACACTGATACACATAGTTGTCCTAATGACTTTTCATCATGACACTAATATTCAGGTACAAGAAGCAGTGTAGTAGTGTCAGAAGTAGACTACCTGTACGTTGACTGTAATATCACTGTTTATACCCTTGTCCCAATGGGATTTGGACAGATTTTCTCCACTTTTTATTACTGCAATCCACCATTATTTGTCTTCTAAAGCATTGAAAGTGAAAATGTTCCAAAGACATGTAGTGAATGTTCCAGGGGATAAAAAGACCGGACATACTAGGCTGAGATTTACTGATAGTGAATGAGCAACTTTTTCTGTGTCTGCTGGTGTTAACAAACAAATAATGTGATCTCAGGTATCTAGAATTTTGTTTTCCCGACAGTTACTGTACAAAGCTTGTCTTTATTCAGGGTGAAATTATCTCAAATTTACGGAGAGATATACACATGTAAGGGGTTGATAGAAAAAAAATCTGTTTGGCTGATAACATTGCAACATGGCTTAGCCTAATAGACACGCGCCTAGCAATGCAGAGAAAAAAAACAAATTAAAAGACAAAATCTCCGTTTCAGATGGCCGTGGTAGTGATATTTTGGTAATAGCCTGTGGCTGCCAAAGGTTACTCTTTCAGGTTAAAAAATTGCTGAATTGTACGAAACACAAAGGAATTTTGTTTTTCATTTTCTAATTAAAGTAACATGTTTTGAAAAAGCTGCCAAAGGTAAATGTTTCAGTTAAAAATGTTGGAATTAAAAGAAAACAAGACTATTTAGTTTTTCTTTCTTTTTGATATATCCCATTCAACTGTATATTATTTTGGAAAGCTGCCAAAAGGACTTTTTCTGCAAACTTTAAAAAAAAATCCATGATTTGTTTTTGTTCTGCACAAACAGGTGTTTGAGTGCCAGGGGGACTAGGGGACAGGAGAGATGTACTCTATAGCTGGTGATATATGGGGAACCTAAGCTGTGTATCAGGCACTAATTAGTAGGATAGGACTATTGTCAGGGGTCTGGAATACATCATCATTGACCCACAGACATACAGGTGCCACCATCATATGACCTCTGACCTTTCACTTATATAGTCACTGTCATGACCTCCCACTTCAGATATAAAATGTACTCTAAAAATATAAAATATATGCTGAGCTGATGTTTTTGTGAATGTTATGATTTACTACAAGTGTACAAGTCCTGAAAATTAGTGAGACTGTAATGTCAAAACTTAAATACTATAAATTCAAGTCATATTTGAAAACTTCAGAAACTTCTAACAAAACATCTGGGAAACATTGGATGTGCCGAGTTAGCAACCTGTGCACCTGTTGTCAGGACTGAGACCTGTAAACAGACCTTAAAGTGTCTGGCCTGGATCAGACTCTCCCAGTGGAATGGCCTTAGATGGGAGCCTTGTGTTGTGTGTACCTGTTAAATACATCTCTGATGTACACCAACATCTGTCTGGTGTACCAGGTTGCGTCATATACAGAAATA